TGGTAAATTCTCGTTCTGCGATGGCACGCACGGTCACGTCAGTAATGTTAGCTTTTGTGATCTCAACAGATGGATTGAGGTAGTTGAAGATGTCTCGAAGATCTTGATCGTTGACGATCGAGAAGGATTGGTTAGAATTGACAATCCAGTTGACAAGTTTCTGCTGGAATACAGTTTTGTCGAAACGTTTGATCAAGGTATTGATCAAATCTTGTTCCTTCGGCTCCTTCGGGTTCAACTGTAGGATTGTTGCAATGGACTGATGTGCTTTCTCGGATGCCTTTGTAGGCTTTTGCCTCTTGCCTGTCGGATCCATGATGCCATTGTGGTCCGTGTACAGGTGACCCTCAGCGTTCTGCAACCCTTTGATGGCATAACTCTTTGGCCTCGGCCGCTTTTGCTTGATGCAAAGGCAACACACCCATCGGCGTTCCCCCTTATCGGCATGCTGGATATAGTAGCCGAACTGATATACCCATTGACGCACTTGGCCGTCTCTCTCCGTCAAGGTCCAGCCTTTGTAGAGCTGAAAGAGTCGTTGATTGTCTTCTTCTGTACGTTCTGGAACGGGTGTGGTTGACTTGGTAGGATGAAGAGTGGCCATTTCGGTTTGGAGTAGTCAGGGCGTGAGTAATAGTAAACCCTCCTAGAATAGACTTGTTTGAACTTTGTGTACGGGTAAAACGGAGTGGAAAATTGTTGCTATTGCGTTGTTATTGGCGATGGAAAGTACTTAGGGTATGCGCTATTTCTCAAGGAAATCCAGGTATTTTCAAACCCCACCTAAATTTTCATTCCTTTCCACAATTTCCACATGTGGAACATGTGGAAGGGGTTCCGTGGCGTGGATATGGAAATGCTGAAGCCTACGTGGAATGGAATGGAATGGATATGGATCCACATTATGGATCCATATGTGGATTTCGTGGTATGGATTTGAACCCTGCAGCCGACGCTAGCATACCTGCGAAAGGTGGCGAGGCAGAAACCAAAAGAAGCTTTCGAAACATGGTGGACAACCTCCGTTCCCGAGCAATATAAGAGATTGAATCTCAAGGCGACTATACGCTGCCCACCGGAACTCTCGCTCCCTCGGGCTGCCCTGCACCACCTGCTCGCGGCAAGGTCCCTCCATGGAGATTTCGCCGCATACCACGAACGATTCAACCACGACGACGCGCGGATGACTTGCTCGTGCGGACGACGCAAAGCACCTGACCATGTCTTCTACTGCAGGAAAGTACCGCGGCAGTGTCGAATAAGGCTCGTCCCTTCGCCGACTGCGGCGGTCAACCTCGCAATAGGAAGGAACTTCGACAAGTATATCAAGTTGACCAAGTCAAGCGCCTTCTTCGAAAGAATATGTACTCGTTACTAGACGAAGCAGATCGGAGATGCATTTGCGTCTCCTCCTCTCCTTCTGTCTTCCTTTCCCTTCTGTTTCTTTGTTTCTTTGTTTCTTTTCTTTACTCTCATGGTCTTGGCCGCCTCGTGCGGTCATGCCGCCGCCCTCTCCCCAGTCTCACTAAAGACTGACCGATATAGCGGCTACTGCTATGATAGCCGCACCTGGTCATCCCGCTGACGGGTAACAGGTTCGACAGGACGCGCTTTTGAGCCGATGATATGCTGGATAGTGGTCTGTTCTTAATTTGCGAAAGCTTTACGTAGATTTTAGCATTAGAGACTCTAGCTCAGCACGTCCTGTGCCCCAATAGGGGACTTTACGGGCCTCACGGCCCCCGGACGAAAAATATACATACATACATACATACACTCCCGCTAATCTGAACCGAGGAGCCCGTGCAGCTCTTTTGCAGAACAGCCCTGCGGCCGTGAATGGCACCATTGGTGTTTTACCCACTCCCGGGCGAATGGCTCAGACACCATCCTCACCACTTGTCGCCGCCACCGCGGCTGCAGCCACGGAAGGAGCTGCGCGCGCTAACTCATCGTCGATCTTTGAACAACAACCAATCTCTATTATCGAGTCAGCCAATGATCTCGCGCGAGAACACGCGGAAGAATACAACGCCAAGCTGATGGTCTTCCAGACCTACTCTTCTATTCTAGATCGCCGCCTCCCCCTGTTCGTCGGTTGCCCCCTGTAAATTGCCTCGTACCCCAACGCCCGTTTTATCTCCGGCGGAAGATCTAAACTCCAGTCTCCTCCATTCTCCTGCTTGCTTACCGCTTTGGAAACAGTGCTAGGGTTATGTTATTCACGCGATCACATCCGGAATGCGACTAATCGCATCCCATCAACTGTCATAAACCTCCAACGCGGTCACGACAGGGGGGTCGACCCAATTAAAATGGCGCAAATAAAAGGTACATCTCCCCCCACCTAAATTAGCCTATGGTAGAAGTCCCAACAATCCTTCGAGTTACAAATCGCTACATCGCACTTGTCGCATCCCTTCCATGATTGCCGCGGCCGCCTTGGCCTCCTTCTGTTTCCGCTCACACCTGCTAAGGGCTTTCTTTTTTGGCTTTTTGACCTAACCTCCCCAACCCGAAGGCCCTGACAAGGAATGCAGTCTGATTTTTTCCCTCTTGAGACGTAATTGTGCTGTTGAACAGGGGTAAATTCGTCCCCCGCTCGAAACCTTTGCCGCGACTGACTGTCATGGTGGAAAGCCTTGAAGATATCATTATAAAGCCGCTCACGCCACTCAACCTGACTCGTATATCTCTTCCAACTTGGCTGCCCGTGAAGCTGAAGAATATAGCTATTCACAAGGATAACCTCTAAGAGGAAGTGCCAAGTTAGGGCCTGCCAAGCACCCCGGCGGACAGGGTGATCATAGCTGTGATATGACCTCAATTGGTCGCCTCGATCTACATGATTCATCTCATTATTGTACTCAGCGGCAACTGTAGGAATGCTAATTAGCTTGACGGTCTCATCACCAAAGAAACGCTGTATCGGCCGTGCCCGGATGTGGTCTGTTGACGGCTTCTTCCTCTTACACTCAATTCTCTCGTTCCCCTTAAAAACGGTCGACATAAACAACACGAGAGCATTATCCTTCCACGCGATTTGGTTGACCTAGGACGAAGAGAGAACTTAGTAAGGGAATCGTATATAATTTTATCTTAGTTACTTACCTGATTATCAGCTGTTGGTATGACCCGGATCTCATTAAACTCATAGCCTGATTTCCCTAACTTATCCTTGTTTTTTGAGACTGCGAGGTCTTTATAGATACCGCAGTTAGCACGGGCTGTGCCTGTAGCCCCGTGGCCGTGCTGACGAAGGGAGAGAAAGAGGTCAGACGACGAGAAGAGGTTATCCATAAAGACGTGGTATACGGCCGGCTGCAGCATATTGATAAGGGAAATAACCACGCTCTGAGTCGAGTTCAGAGGGATGACCTTATCCCTATTAGTCATAACCTCTATCACCTCCTTAACCTCCTCAACCTCCCGCGGCCTCGCCGGCCTGCCTCTGCCTCCTCTGCCTCTGCCTCTTCCCACTCCAGTCCTCCTCTTCTTAGTAGGTTCAACACCTACAGGGCCGTATTTTAGACCGGGCTGGTGCCAAATCCACCGTAAAAAGAAGCCCTTTTGGGCTACAACCCAAACCTTGAACCCCGTGTTGATCGGCTTGTTCTGTACCGTGGTTTTCTGGTGAGATCTCCCCTCATATTGGATCATGCCCTCATCCACAGCGAGATGAGAGCCCGGCTCTAAGAGCTGCGTTGATACGTATTGTATAAGATCAGACCACGGTTGTGCGCATTGGAATACCTCAGGGAAGCGTTCATCAGGTACGAATTCGGTGTGGTCAAAGGGTCGGAGGTGGCGGTGAAGAAGCTGAAACTTATTGTAGGTCATAAACTTGATGATAGAGTAGGTAGGACGCTGGTCCCCAAGCAAAGAGGTTTTCCAATAGTCCTCGATCCTAGTTTCCTTGTGGAGACCAATATAAATCAGGATTCCAAGCCAGATGTATACATCGGAGACCTTGAGCCTCGTCCACTTTTGCAGCCTTGAGCCATCTTTCAGTTCGTGGTTTTGGCTGTCAATGACGCCGCTCTCATGCAAGCTGGCGACCCAGTTGTTGGTGTATTCAACCCAGCTTTCGACTAGGGAAACAGGCACAAAGAGCTGGAAGAGCTGTAGTGGCTCCTGGGGCAGTGGGTTGACCTTAAGGTCGCGAGGCGGCACGTTGAAAGGTTGAAAGTTGAAGCCGCGGTCTTCAGCTGGGGGAAACTCAGGCCGGCATGTACTATCAGCCGCTTGCTCGCGTCTGCTGTTTTCTTCTGTTATGAAACTATTATCATCATAGATATTGACTGCCGGTATCTTAGGAGGTATCTTTCGGGAGGGCATTACAATGAGCAAAATGAATTATGTGCGATTTTAGCTGTGAAGGGTCAGAGGGGTTTTTGGGTTCCCCACAGGTACCGTCACGATGACAGGGGTGATGTGGGGCGAGGTACGGAATGGAGGTTTATGACAGCCGATGGGATACTCATACTTTTGCTCCTGCTTTTGCTCCTGCTTATGGATTACAACCACCCATCTTTCTTTAACCTTAGTCTCCTTACAAGATTTAATCATTTAATATAATCGTCATGGATCTGAACGATCTCTTCTATTATGATAGCCACTGGCACATTCTCATATATAAAAGATGCAGCACTGTGCCGCAGACCAGCATCTACCGGCATATCAGCATGTTTCATAACCCTCTGCGTGCCCATAAACCTGCCGAGATTAAGTCCTTCGAACAATCAATGGACTATCTGCCTTACATACGGGATCCGGACGAGATTCGTAGATCAGTCCGACCCTCGCCAGACTCTGTGCCTATTCCGTTTCTTACCACCTTCTCACAACAATCTGACGACGACGTCTGTTAGACCGGGTTGAACATTCTACTCTAGTATACTAGTCGGTAACGGGCCCCGTTACCGGTTTTAGGCCAATTAAAGGTCTAGAACTAACCCACTTGCCCACCTTCCCCTCCGCGGACTGTAAGACTGCGAATTTCAAGGCCATGGCTTGCCGATCCGCCGTGCCCAAGATTCCGCCGTCCTGGATGGATATCTTCTGCCCCCATCTCCGGTAATGTTACCGAGTTCATCTAGATTCTTCCCACCCGGCAGGTTCATGTCATCCCGGCCATAGCGATAGACAGTGGCTCTGTCTGTGGGAATTACTCTCTGGCGCAACTCAAAAAGCACTTTCCATATGGCCGGCTCCCCAAGACTTCGAGTCACCAGGCTTCCAAACAGACTGCCGAACGGGCCGTAGTTCAAGATGCTTTCGTACACATCGCCATTGCCCAAGTGGGATCTCGGGATGTGGGGAACCACTTGTTCTGGCCTGATAGGGGGACCAAGATCAGCCAACATATCAGAAGGCTCTTGCTGGAGTAGTAGTTTGCGCGTATCATTATTCCAGATCTGCTCAAGCATCTTCAGCAGAGCAAAATCCGACAGAACCATGTTTGGATAGACCGTTCTCCCTTGTCCAATAATGGGGATATAGATGGCAATGCTCACCAATTTCTCAAGCACACCTCCTCCGCTTCTCCAGAAGCGGAATTCCTGCCGGCCCAGATCGTAATGACAACCAGGAAGCCACTCCTCATAGATGCCTGCTTCGCCGCCGTCTTTCCTCTTCGCCAGACATGGTTGAAAGGCCCAAAGACGGTCGTGAACCGAGACTAAATGACAGACATTCATTACCACCGAAGATACCACATCGTCGTAGAATTGGAGGTAATTCAGTCCCAGACCACCCGTAAACGTTGGGATCCCCAGCGATCCAACGGTATCAAACAGGCCCATGAACCTCACCGGTGGTTGGGGGGCCGACACTCCATTAGGAACAGGGTCACCGATCAATGGCCAGGAGTTCCGCCACCGAAACTCGATGGCGTTAGGCCCGTGCGGCTTGTTGTTGCGATCGCGACTCTTGTACAGAAAGTACGCATCCTGACAGATTTGATGAGTCTCGTCGTCATTCAAGTTCAACCTCCAGCGATTGATAATACCGTAGTTGTTGATTAGCCCAGCAACCGAGCGGACGATGTATGCACCGCGACTTAGACCGAACATCCAGATCTCCTGGTCTGGAGTATAGTGATCAACGATGAATTGGTACGCCGAGATGACTTCCTCTTTGAGGTCAGAAGCCGTTGCTCCGTCAAACAGGTAGTCCAGGAAGCCAGCGCCGAGGCCGACGCCATGACGATACCGTGCGACGATCTGACGGTCAGCCGGATCAGCCGAATTGACTTGCCGGATATACGTATCCGTAGAATTGGGGTTGTCGATGGGGACTTGAAAAAGCTGGGCCAGGCGATAGATGTTGGTTTTGGTGTTAGTCTCGCGACCACACCAAGTGCCATCGCAGAGGAGCACGATGGTCTTCGGTGCTTCGGTAATTGGAGGTTCATGGTAACCCTCATGTGTTCCAGGGTGGGGTTCCAAGATGAGATTTGAGGACGTAGCCATACTACCCACTACTCTTTCCGACATTCTACCCACTCTACCCGGGTGGGGTAGAGCTCCCTCTACTCTACAATGCCCAAGTATGGACGTAGCTGGATTGAACTCGGGACCAGGGTGGACAGCCTCACGAGGCCAGCGGTTAATTTGTGAGCTTCTCTCTTTGGTTCGATCCTCTTTGGGTACGGTAGTCGCCATTTTAACTAGGCTCGTTAAAGCAATCAAGTCTTCGACAGCCTGGCAAAGTGATCGGCGTGCTATTGCATCTGGTTGCTCTTCATCCTCACCCTCGAGTGTCTTCGATGTCACTGGTTCGCGGAGTCAGTAGATCTACTCTATCAAAGAACATAGTAGCAGTCTCCAGACTGGATAGCGCCATACCTTGGCCACTTTCGACGGCCATATTCATCGACAGCTTATCGAAGCGCAGGACCTGCTTCTTCAAGTTCCCCAGACGGTCTCGCAACAGTACTGACACCTTGTCAAGCTTATCTGCCCATTCGAGGGCTTCGTCAGTTTCCTGGATGTCGGCATCCCAGAGTTTCAATTGGAGAAGCATGTCGTCGACGAAAATACTGTCGTCTGGGCGTCCCTCCAGTCGTTTCGAGTCAATCGCCATAGACTCAAGCCTGTCAAGAATCCAACGAAACTGTTCATGCGCCCTGAAGAGTGGAGGGGATAACATTCTGAACGATGACTCCATATTGAAGGAAATCCAGATAGGAAATGTCTCAAGAAGCGGCCGCTTGATAATGAAATTCTGATATCTGCACTACAGTGATTTGACAGGAATGGTTTTGTGAAGTTCAGACAGGTCAGGCCAGAAATGGCCACAAGGCAGCAAGTCGTCCAGCCTGAGGACGGTAACATCTCTAACAGTGGAAAGTATTAAACCGAGCAGAAATGATAACCAGTAACTCAATCCTGGCAGTGGCGGTGTTACACTCGTTAACTCCTCTGCCGGCTGCGTACATCTTGTCATGATGACGTGTAGTATTGTCATCCTCGCTTGGACATCAATGGACCGTCTCCGCAGTCCGCTTTGTTCGAATATACAACTTCAGACTTTACAACGTCCGCGTGCAATTTAAGAGTTACCCTTCATTTCTATATATTCAATATGCCTGAGCCAGTCATCACTCCATTGGCTGCTTTTGGGCTGTCCTTGACGATCCTAAACTTCTTCATTTCCACTATAGAAAACCTACTCGGCAAATACCGCGAGATTAAGGACTATCAGCAAATGCTGGGTGATCTTAGACGAGATCTCTTTGTCTCCGCTAGGAGCTACGACCTGTGGCTCGATATTTGGGGCTCAAACGAGCAATCGTACGAAAAGGTCTTCGGCATTGACTGGCCCGAAATCAAAAAGACTAAGCAAAGGATTGAAAGTCTGGTGCGGGACACAGCGAAACTTCTCTGCCTCGACACGCCTCTACCGCCTTCTCCTAGCCAAGAGTCCAAAGTATCTACTGCATCAACAACCCTGCACGGCCATGAGGCTCCCACGCCAAACCAGACATCTCCGACTCCAGGCTCGGCAACTAACGACTGTAAAAGCAAGCTTGGACTCTTTAGCCGCATCAGCCAGCGCCCTACTGGGAGTAAAGCCAAGACGACAGCGAACGACGGCCCCATTGCGTTGGAATTGGAAGCAGACAAACAGCAGGGCTGGAAGTCGTTTACGAAATCCCTCAGCGAAGCTCTTTCAAAGCAACCGGACCACGCCATGGTTGATCAGGCAGCGAAAAAGAGTTCCTGGGACAAGCTTATGGAAAATGTATCCAACCTGGTACCGGGGGAAGAGGAGATGCGGCGCATCTTGGGTATATTCGGCTGGAACAAGGTTCTCAAGGCCACTGTCTCAGATTTGGAAAAGGCTCTCAAGTCACTCACCGAGCATACCAAGATTGCGATTGAGAGTCAGGGTCACCGGCCGGTGCCGACGGAACGCCACAAGGTCACGGCCATCGAAGACGCAATTGACTTTCGTGACATTGCCCGAACACTCGAGCCGATCGTCCGTGGACAAATCATAGGAAGTACAGGGGTCTCGAAGTGGTTCCTCGAGCTCAAGTACCCGGACGGTGTGAGCGACGGGTCGGCCGCAGCGAGAAGGATCTTCAAGGAATGTGACTTCTCATTCGTGGCAACTCTGGCGATCCCCGATGGCCCCGACAAGACGCATGAGGTCAAAATGACCCGTCTCAAGGGCAGGCTGGTTGACGAGGCCAACGCGCCCAATATGTCCTTAGAGTCAGCTATGACTATGTTTCAGCAGCCGTCTAAATTGACCTTTAAGTCCGGCGACACCGTTTTCAAGTTGCAAACCACCAAGACATCCCCAACTCTTATCACTCAGGACTGGCGCGTTCTCTTAACGGAATGCGGGACGAAATCTGATGTGCGGAAAGCCTTGGAGCTTACGAGGGCCCGATTTGCGCTAGGACTGACCTTGTGGATGATCTTGCTATGGGAATCGGATTGGTTCACCCACGTATGCGCCTGCGCATTCAAATGCGTGCTGTTTCCCTCCTCAGGTTGCACTGGGGAACGAGAGACTCAATATGAGGACGAGGACCAAGTGGAGAATCATATGAATCGCCACGAGCATATTTATAATCCTACCTGGCCACAGTTGACCTGCCCTCCCACACTTCCGATTCATCAAAACCTAGCTATCCCGCTGGCAAGTGAAACAAATATCGTCCCTTCCTGCAGAGGCCGCACGGAGTTGAAGGATAGACTGTACCATTTTGGCATCCTCCTCTCTGAACTAGTCCTCGGACAGCCAATCGACCTCACTTCAGATGTCAACCATATACCCAATACCAGAACAAAGGGCCGCCCAAGGAGGCGATTCGAGGCAAGCGACGAAATACTGGACGAGGTCAAGTCGCCGAAAGTCAGAGACGCAATCTACTTCTGCTTCACGCAAGACATGGTTCAGATGTGGACAGACAAGGACAAAAATTATGCTCCGGGTCGGCTAAACCGGTTCATCGAGGAGGTTCTCAAGCCGGTAATAGAATACCACGACGTGGTCAAAAAAAACTTCAAGAAGCACTACGCTGAAATGCTAGTAACAAGCGCTAAGATGTTTCCGGACAAGTATGAGCAGTTTGAGACTCTGTTGAAAATCTTTGAATAAATGGACGAGGAAAAAACATGGCACAACAGTGAGGAGTACCGCATCTGTAGGGGAACTCGGGAGGATAATTTTTGAAGCCTAACAGTTGTTAGATTTTACCAACTACACCACACGCCACCAAAATGGGAATCCCCACTTAGAGCACTGCATGAGTGGTTTTATCTGACAACAGTACTGTCCAACGGAGGAGACAACTCCAAAGAAAATGCTACTCCTTTACCTGACATCTATTCCTACTGCAATGATTGCTGCTACATCCCTATTGTTCGTCCCATTTTCACTGAAAGAGGAGACCCCTGTCGGGTGGGGGGAGGTACCCCGCAGGGCGAAATGTGCGGGGTGAGTGACTTTGGGATCGACGTGGGTGAAGTGAAAGAGGATTTCAGTGAAAGAGTCGACGATGATTGGTCCAAAAAAGAAATAATATTCAGTATCATCATCAGTATAAGTTAATCAGAAGAAAAAGAAAAACCAACCGCCAGCCGGCCAGCTCTCTATCGATAAGGCTTATCTTCCAGGGACAATAAGAGAGAAAAAAAAAAGAAAGAAAAAAAAGAAAAGAAAGTTTACCATTTAACTAAAAAGCGAAAGCTAAGTAGGGGAAGGGAAACCTAGAAAGCAAGGTAAACAAAACAAACAGATAAACAAACAGGACTAATCAATTGATCAGAATCAGTCAATCCACCAACAAACATCAACATCATCTATAATAATATACATCATCGAATCGACCACTTACGTACTTACCATATATTATTATTATTATTATTTATAACAACATATATTATCTATCATTACACCCTACCTCGCTATCATTCGCACTGTCAAACATATACAATTATGGGTCTCGACAGCTTCACCTATGATCCCGACCACCGGGTCGTAGTCTGCCGGCCCTGCGGCACATGTCTGATTCCGAGACCGAAGAGCTGGAAGAGCCACCTGCGGGCGAAGCCGCATCGTATGAGAGGTGACGAGCTAAGGCTGACCATCGAGCAGCTGTCGAGCTACCCCCTACGCCCAGTCGACGAGCTACGGCAGTGGAGGGTTGATAGGAAGCGGCCATGTCGACCAATAGAGGGGCTTACCGTTTACGAAGGGTACATCTGCTGCACTGATGCCGAGTGCGACTACTGCACACGCCGCATCGAAAAGATGCACGACCATATGCCAGCGCATGGCAAGAGAGCCTCACAGTACACCGACGATAGACCCCTCTGGAGATCGTGCCGTCTACAAACATATTTCACCGCAAAGGGGCTTATCGACTACTTCGTCATCGACGATCCTTCAACATCACCAAGGATAGGAGCAGCAGGAGCAGCAGGGGCGGTATCGGAACCACCAACACCGGGGAGTTCACTACTTATATCTCCGTCGTCGCAGGAAGAAGGGAAGCTGTTTGAGGACCTAAAAGCAGACATCATCCAAGCTTCGCGCGATCTCGAAGAGAAGGCCAGTATAGTTGAAGGAATCGATGAGTCGCGAGCAGATCGGGTGCCCTGGCTCATCCATACCGGGTTTCCCACACATCTACGGGGACTTCGTGACACCGAGATTCTATCGTCATATGCCCTGCCGAGAAGCATAGACCCGCTAGACGACGGTATCTGTAGTGAGGACGACGAGGACGATGACGACCACAACGATGACGAGAATAAGGGAGACGGCACAGGTCGAGCCGCTACAGACCTACTCAAGGATTCTAGTCAGGAACGGGGCCCGCTCCAGGTTTTAGACCAATCAGAACTCTAAAAATCCTACCCTCTCTTTCTGACTTGGAACGGGGCCCGTTCCTGGATCGGTCATGTTTACAAAAACGCGTAACGGGGCCCGTTCCCAGCGCGATGGTCCGTGCCATCCCAGTAGAGTTCAATGGGCATTCGGAATCGTAAGTTACCGATAACATCTTGTCAAAGCTCTCTCAAACAACATTCCAGAATCATGTCCTCACAAACCCCCAGAGTCCCTCTGGTGACCCAAAGAATCACTGCCAGGCAACTTCAGAGACTAGAAACACTCAAGTTACATTACGACATTTCTCAACCGGCTATCATCTGCATGCGCTGTGGCTTCGCTTTAAAGAATGATGGTGACCGCTTTGGACGCCATCTTGGAGAAAGACACAGTATACCCAAGTCAGATCTTCGAAACATCAACAAATTTATTCAGTCTTTGCGACTTGCCGACCCTGATACTCTGATACCACGACCTGATGGATCTATACCACATCCTCATCTAGCATTGCAACGCGGTTCAGCCTGCAAGCACTGCAAGCTACGATCTGGAAGTTACGAGGTGCTGTCAAAGCATCTCATGAAGTCACATAGACAGGAAATCTCGAGAATAGGCGCGAAAGGAAAGCATTGGCTCCGAGATCATATTGAAGAAAACCTCACCTTTCAAAGCTGGAAAGCAAACGACATTCTCCGATCTTGGATTGTGTCTACAGATGATCAGCAGACGCGGCAAGGAAGTTTGAGAAGTAGTATATTCTTACAAGCAGCGCCTGATTCGACCCGGGACTTTGCATAAGAACTACTCTCGGAGGAGCGCGAGTTATTATCAAAGCAACTAAATGTCTCGCCTTCAAGTGATGCTGCACCTCCAAAAGAGTTATTGACAAATTGGATGCGTCGCACTCGTTGGGAGGAGGCCTGCGGTGCGGCGCGCCGTGATATACTAGTCACGCTAGCGGAATTACCTTTGACACATAATCAGCCTTTCTGGCTAGGGGTTCATGATGGGCAGGAACTGATCAGTTCGGCCGAGGCCGAATGTAAACTTATCTCGATCACAGCAGCACTTGACCGCTTATTTGACCGTTGCAAAGAGACGGTGAGATATACTGATGTCAGTGTGCGCAGATGGCTCCGAGGCAGGTTTCCAGATCGCCCTTACAAGGCGCCCTTCGAGCTTGTCATGAGGCAAGCCTCTGAACGACAGTACAGGAGCGAGTTCAAGCGCTGTGTTTGCTTCTGGTTCCGAGTTCTGCAGTTGTCTCCAACCATAGCCTGGTCGATAATGGGGCGCGCATTGTCCCAACGTCAACGCAGGATGCTACGACAGCTTTGGTTCGATCCCGCATGGGACACCCAACAACCACCGGGACAGGACACTGTACAGCAATGTTACGATGAGGACGAATTTGAAGAGTCCGAGGATGAGAGCGATTATGAAAGTACGGATGATGAGGAGGATGAGAAGGAGGGTACGAGGGGTTTTAACCTGCCCTTCGAGAAGGACGACGATGTATCGGTTGAGGAGTCAGCCTCGAGTCAATCTTCCGGAGTTGGGCCTGAGGATCCCCTTGGCGATATCGTACTTCGGTTCTGCTATGATATGGCTACCGAAGACTTTGAAGATGGGAGAGCCAGCTCGTCTCTACTCGTCTACTTCAGTGCTGTTCGTGGTCTATCGAGACCAAGGGGCGATGAGTATTTACGTCCTCACCAATTCACGCCCGTCTTATCCAGGTTGATATACTGTACGCGCCTGATCTTTCTGGAGAGAATCGTGCCACGGTTCGCCCACGCACATATTGGCCTCTCCGCGAGACCACTTTACGGTCAACTGCAAATGCTGAAGGAGGTGCGCGCGGAGAAGATGTGTGATGGTACGATGTCCCCTCTTGGCGAGTTTCTCAGTCTCCTAGCTTATGGCCGTGCACTCCATGGAACTGAGGGTCCGGTATATCATTTTCACTGGAGCGAGGACGGTGAGGTACTGTCATGGGACGGAAATGCATACCTCTCTATGACTAGCTTTCGTGGCTTAGCCCGAGAGGCCTTGGGACAAGCCACTAAGCAGAGTCGGCGGTTGATGTACGAGTGGGAGCCACTTGATCCTAATTTCAACAGCATCCGAGATCGATTGTCAATGGCAACCGCCAACTACTCCTTTGTGACCGATCCGACCAACAGGATATCAGATGCATATTTGGAGTCTGCTTATGAAGGCGTGTACATCTCCGGTCGATGGTCTTCTTAAGCCCCAAGGTCCTGGTCAAAGTGTATGGGACTCCAAAGCCGCGCAAGCATACCTTGATGCCCATGACGCTCATTTGAAATTGCTTATGGTTCTAATTCAATTAGATAGTAGACAAGCAGCTCGCGTATCAGAGTTACTGACTATAGCTTGTTCTAACACGCCTTCAAGGCTTAGAGGCATGGGTTTCTATGGAGGAAGAATGCTTTCCATTACTCGACACCATAAAGCGCGACTAACTACGAATAAGGAGTTCCAAGTTGCAAGGTTTCTCTCCCCATCAGTTGCTCTACTAATGTATCGATATCTCGTGTACATACGTCCCGTCGCGTATGCCATCCTACGCAAATGCTTCCATCACGACTTCGCAAATAGTCTACTCTTTGCCCCTCTATCACGACGTGGGTCTTGGTCAACGAAAACCTTTACAGAAGAGCTCAAACGATTGAGCATGGATGTTCCGGGAATACCATGTAGAATCGGAACTCAATTATATCGCCAGCTGTCTATCGCTATCACGGAAAAGCATCTTCATGGCGGGTGGGCAAGTATTAACCGGTTCTACATATGGGCTCGACGGCGCGTTTCCAGATCACCTACAACCAGCATTACTGCGGATCTATGCAAAGATATCCGCAGAATGGCATGAATTTATAAAAATCGACGAATCACCCGACTTCACCAGGAGAAATGAAAGCGTCCGCGTGACTGAAACGAACATAGAAGTGGGTTTCAGAAAACGCCAATTCGATCAGCCAGTGTCCTCGACCCAGCCAATAGATCTAGGAAGGAAGCGTTGTCGCCGAAACCTTGATTCACCAGAAGATGCCAACACCTATATACCGAGTGTCACTGCTGATATCAACGACGTCGGGCTTGATCACGGAGATACTATTACGTACCCATCTACCATCCCAGACGAAACAACACACTCTTTGAAATTACTAGAGGACCAGTCTTTACTCACGGTGGGGGCGTTTGTAGATCTTCCCGCCTTCAATTTGGTCGTATGTAGCAGCTGCAAGTACGCCGTTTTAGCCGACGAGATTAAGAGTCACCTTCAGAATCCAACACATCGATACAGTTACACAAAAGACCAGGGACAGAAAATAGTCGCCAAGATTAGTAGCATTCCCGCAATCTTGAGGAACCAAGACGATCTGCGTAATTTTTGTCTACCTCCTCCTGAAACGAGGGCAATCCCGTTTATTGAACCACCAAGAGAAAGCATCGTTTCGACATCCATGGATTGAAGGGTCAGCCGAAGGGAGGCAATATGAAAAAGAAGGCAAAAATGTCTCGAGGGCTGCACTGGGTGACAGGTGTGCCTTGTCAACGACTCTTCCCTTACCGTCGAGGGAGTAGCTGGTTTGAAGTGAACAGGAGCCACAAAGATCCATGAAATATAGGACATGCCAAGAGTCTTTGGTATATATAGTAATGGAGGCGACATCTAGCTATTCTAGGTCCTGCAGTATCTATGCATAATATAGTAGTATACATAGTTATCCCCAAGGTATATATTGAAGCGTATAGCTAAGTAGTGGAACTAAGTCCCCATGAATACACATTTATAATCATGTATTTGTTAATCATGCATGTATTATAAAAGTCAAGGTATTAATACAAGAGCTTATCCGCAGACAGGAAGAGCTGCACGATTTCCAGTTCCCAGATGCACCCAACGAAGCGATTCCGTATCTCGAACCGCCAAGAGGGGGCATGCTAGGCAGTCCAACATGCAACTATATCGCTTCCAATAAGCGTGATATACAGGCACATTATCGCAAAAAGAATGGTTGGGAGAACGATTGGCAGAAGGGAGGAAATATAAAAAAGAAGCTAGAGCAACCCAGAGAGACTCCATGGATAGAAGATGCATATTGTCAGCGATTTTTTAGGCGACGCTGGGCGAGTAGGTGGTTTCAAGTACGCAAAGATAACGAGTCGGAGGTTCAAACACCCATCAATCACGAACCAAGGGAGGATGTTGTAAAGAGGCTGATGAGGGTTCACCAAGAACAAGTCGACAAGTTCAACGCTGCCGAAGAGGACGAGATCAAGGTTGCCGACGAGAAGAAGGAGCCAAGTGCGTGGCTAGAAAGGACAGGCTGGGCAGACCACTTGCAAAAGTTCAAGGCGAAGAAGGATTTATTGCCACTGGTTGCCCCAGTACAAGAAGATGAGCCGGTATTACAAGTGATGTGCGATACGTTCGATCGAGTGGCCAATCACGCTAAGGCGGCAGCAGTATCAAGCATAGTCGGGCTGGCCGCGCTGTATCAGATTGAGCGGAAGGAGATTCACATCAAGCCAAGCAAGCCATTCGATAATCGATTGGAGGATGAGTCGTGGGCTCAGTGTAAGGCATACTGGATGACAATGCTGCGTATTTGGCAGCGTATGGACGGTCGGCAAGATGAAGATCGACCGCCATATAAGTTGACTATCCGGCAGGGCAACTTATGGGATGAGTTTGAGGAAGCTGCTGAAGCTGTTGTTGCAGGGCAGGCAAGGGAGAAGGGGCTGACTGATGAGAAGATGGAGCGGCTATGCTTGGATATGTTGATCGGTATGCTGGATCATCAGTTCAAACAGAGTCACTATGACAGTATTGTGCTCTGCGCACTGGCGATCATGGGCATCAACGAAGACGGCGGTTGGATAGAGCCGACAGATTATACGCCGAAGTATTCGGGCGTGATCAAAGTGGCACGTATGTTGGTATTGTACCAATCGTGGCATGAGCGGGAGGAGGACGTTGCTGAGAAGATGAGGACTATGAGTGAAAATGAAGCTCGGGAGAAGGCAAAGGGAATGTATAGGATCGTACGGGAAAAGTCACAACGGTTTATAATTCGAATCTGCCTTGGCCTTACTTCTGCCTACGGAGAATGCGGCTATAAGGTGAACACGGTTTTCTTTCTGGCCATCACACCGCATAAGCGTTCGGATGGGCCGGGCTCCGGTTGTTCTTGCCAATGAATACGTTCAGGATGGCCTCATGATCATCTTCAGTCTCGTATTATGCCTGTTTGCGAGGCGGTCTAGGGCAATATGACCAATAGATCACAGGGACCAACTTGCATAACATCGCAGAAGCGTCCGGATGGGCTGAATTCCGGTTGTGCTTGCCAATGAAGACGTTCGGGATGGTCATGCTAAGCACTCATCTAACGCCCGCATTACGATAAAGCATGGCTGAGACTAGGGCGTCATCCTGCTCCACTACGATCTTGGCCCCTATTGGGTCCACCATGACGGGCAGTCTCCACCCCAAATTTTCTCCCAACCAACGATGATTCTTCTGATCCCTTCGCGTGTAGTTAAAAATGCAGTGAAGTCTGGTGCTGTTTCTGGGGAATCCTCCGGGTGTGCACAAGAATTACACACACACACACAAGTCTATTACGCCCGGTAGGCCAACGCCGAGCGGGTCGAAATCGGTTGTCCATCTGCAGACTATCTTCGATTTCCAGCGCACGGACCATACTGCGGGTGTGTATGTAGTAGTGAATGGTGAATACTGTCCTCAATGTATAGCCTCTCCGTGACGAAACCGTAATTGACCCACATGCGGGAATAGCATGGTCTTGTGTAAGCCGGCCGTAAGTTGGCTGGTGGTCCTGTGTTTCTGCAAGCTGTCCTCAACGTTATCTATTACATATCAAGTCAACCTGTGGCTATTTGCATTAGGAAAGAAAATGCTCAGCCGTCTTTGTCGCCTGCCCACATGCGCATTGCTGTAGTGATGCTACTGTAATCCAAAAGAGGTATCTATTCAATCCGGACATGCCTGTCCTGAGCTGTGCCAGCACGCTAGTTTCTCACTATGATAAGCTGTCGTGTACTTATTAAGTGATAGCGCAGCATCGATGGTCTTCGAAAGCTGTCCAACATCGCTCGGCAGTTACTTCTTAAGATTCTGGCTCGGTTAAGCCATATTGAGGGCCAACGACCGCATTCTGACAAACTTCAGGGTCGAGATGGTGCCGTCTTGGGTTGTTTTCCGCACGTTGTCTTTGGCAGTCTTTAAGAGCTTACGGAGAAAGGTAATACGTATATCTCTACACTGATAGTTAATTCTAGGAAGATACAGTGTTGAACACCTCCACCTTCCGCTTCAAAACAACATTCTCTTTATAAAATCCAGAGTGGAGACACTTCGGTACATAAATTTACCTAGTAAGCAAATATTTTGTCTGAATTTGGCTGTATTATGCGTGCGTAAGCAATTTTTGAATGCGTGAAAGAAGTACCCAGAAGTAGCGCTGCTGCCTAAAAAATCTGGGGGAGTGGAGACAAGTCGACAGTGCGAGGTAGAAGTACTCTCGCCAGGCACAGACCCAGTAGGTACATTGAGAAGCAAAAGATAAACTAAGTTCCTGCGTGTACACCGTGTCTAGGGTACATATATTGGAGGTGTGGAAACATCCTTCATTGAGAACGATTGTTGTAGGAGAGGAAGCGGTGTTCAATACTGTATTTTGCTTACAGAATTAATTTTGATCAGATCGAAAGGAATCTCGAACCCGTCTCAACTTCCCAGTTACTCTCTTGAGAAGCGGTTGTTTCTTGGTTGTCGGAGTATCGGATGGCCCTGCATTGGGGGCGGATGGAACAAGACGTAGATATTCTGCCGCTCGAGTTGTATCTGGATGCTCATCGCCAAGAATCCGCTGCCTCTTCTCAAGCACCTCCCTCATAATCAATGCTGCTTCATCCAGTTTGCCTTGGTCGCTTAGCGTAATTGCAAGGTTACTCATCGCCTTGATTGTATCTGGATGCTCATCACCAAGAATCCGCTGCCTCTTCTCAAGCACCTCTCTCCTCATCAATGCTGCTTCGTCCAGTTTGCCTTGGTCGCTTAGCGTAATTGCAAGGTTATTCATCGCCGAGATTGTATGTGGATGCTCATCGCCAAGAATCCGCTGCATCTTCTCAAGCACCTCCCTCATCCTCATCGCTGCTTCGTCCAGTTTGCCTTGGTCGCTTAGCGTAGATGCAAGATTACTCATCGCCGTGATTGTATCTGGATGCTCATCACCAAGAATCCGCTGCCTCTTCTCAAGCACCTCTCTCTTCATCAATGCTGCTTCGTCCAGTTTGCCTTGGTCGCTTAGCGTAATTGCAAGGTTATTCATCGCCGAGATTGTATCTGGATGCTCATCACCAAGAATCCGCTGCCGTTTCTCAAGCACCTCCTTCATCAATGCTGCTTCGTCCAGTTTGCCTTGGTCGCTTAGCGTATTTGCAAGGTTGCTCATGGCCGTGATTGTATCTGGATGCTCATCGCCAAGGATCCGCTGCCTCTTCTCAAGCACCTCTCTCTTCATCAATGCTGCTTCGTCCAGTTTGCCTTGGTCGCTTAGCGTAATTGCAAGGTTACTCATCGCCGTGATTGTATCTGGATGCTCATCACCAAGTATCCGCTGCCTCTTCTCAAGCACCTCTCTCCTCATCAATGCTGCTTCGTCCAGTTTGCCTTGGTCGCTTAGCGTTAATGCAAGGTTATTCATCGCCGTGATTGTATGTGGATGCTCATCACCAAGAATCTGCTGCATCTTCTCAAGCACCTCCCTCATCCTCATCGCTGCTTCGTCCAGTTTGCCTTGGTGGCTTAGCGTTAATGCAAGGTTACTCATCGCCTTGATTGTATCTGGATGCTCATCACCAAGAATCCGCTGCCTCTTCTCAAGCACCTCCCTCATAATCAATGCTGCTTCGTCCAGTTTGCCTTGGTCGCTTAGCGTAATTGCAAGGTTACTCATCGCCTTGATTGTATCTAGATGCTCATCACCAAGAATCCGCTGCCTCTTCTCAAGCACCTCTCTCTTCATCAATGCTGCTTCGTCCAGTTTGCCTTGGTCGCTTAGCGTTAATGCAAGGTTATTCATCGCCGAGATTGTATCTGGATGCTCATCACCAAGAATCCGCTGCCGTTCCTCAAGCACCTCCTTCATCATCGATGCTGCTTCGTCCAGTTTGCCTTGGTCGCTTAGCGTATTTGCAAGGTTGCTCATGGCCGTGATTGTATCTGGATGCTCATCGCCAAGGATCCGCTGCCTTTTCTCAAACACCTCCCTTTGAGATAATGCTGCGTCATTCCAGCGCCCTATCTCCACAAAAAAAAGGCCAAAACTTTCTACTGTCTCAAGCCAATCGATTTCGTTCAAGTCAATGACTGTTGAGGCCCCCTTAAAGCTGTGGATGTTGTCTGTCAAATGTGGCACAACTCGCAGCTTTGACGCAGGACCATCCTGGCGATCACTGATAGTCTTTAGGTAATCATCCAGGAGCTGTGATGCTGCATACCAAAAGCGTTTCACTTCGTCCCCGTCGCCTTGTAGTCGATCGTAGCCCCAGGCATGAACAAGGCGATGAATCGAGTATGAGGTTTGCATCACCTTGCGCTGGCAGAGTGAGTAGTTTTCCAGAACCCGAAAACATTTCTCCAACTGATGCAAGTCAACCCTAATTTGACACCCTAAAACTGATGTCCATGCTGCAACTTCTGTTGAGCCTGAATCAATGTGTAGGCCGAACAGCTCGATGAAGATGTCATCGTAATGAATAAAACACAACAATGTTAGAAGCCGGCATGCTTCCGGAAGGTGCTCGGATACCGCATCGTAAGACGTCTCCCACACTGTCATGACGCTGTGGTGATACCTTGCAACAAGTTCATCTGGTGTTTCTGAGAGCAGAGCCTGTCGACGGTAACGGAATTCATTCAGATATGCAGATAAATTGGATGATAGCCGTGGGGTCTGTGACACATACTTTCCCGCCATGCTGATTGCCAGGGCAAGGTAACCCAGCTCCTTCACAATGAATTCAGCTTCAGCCACCACATTATCCCGCGGTGGTCGTATCTCTGCGCAAGTCAGGAAGAGTTCAACACTTTGTGACTCTTCAAGTTCCCCGACAGAAACTCCTTCGAACGTCGACATAGATTTCGCGATGGATGTTCGACTCGTGATAATAATGTGTATGTTGGGAGATCCCGGGCAGTATTCAGACAACGCCACAAAGCTTTTGTCTGTTTGGTGCAAAGAATCGGCACCGTCGAAGATGACAAGGTACTTTCCAGATGCTCTAGCAAACCAGCTGAGTACTTCTCGCTTCACGTCTTCGGCATTTGGATCGGATAGTAAAGACGTAGTATCTCCTAGAAGTCGGTAGATGGCTAGGAAGTCTCGGTCAATAGAGGCCGTCTGGTCCGCTTGAATCCAGAATGTGGCGTCATACTCGGTTCGATAATGCTGCAGGTAGCTTAGAGCTAGCTGTGACTTTCCCGCTCCGCCCATGCCCCATACTCCCACCTTCTTTACCTCCCCTTGTTTATTAGCCTCGAGGGGTCTCATGAGCTGATTTCGGATGCTGTCACGAAGAGCTGGTCGCTGAACAAAGGTTTTTACTGGTGCTATGGAGTTCAAAGGATACCCGGGCATGCGGCAAGGGGCTACAGGAGCGGACACTAGTCAGTATCCGTGATTGGATCATAATGGAGCATATGATTGAAGATAGAAAAGGCTAAGACTAACCAGGCCCATCCATCGTCAGAGCGCGGTCGACCTCGTCAGCGATGGTCCCCAAAACCAGCTCGCATGCGGGGCTGTCGGCGGACTCAAATTTACAAATAGTGCTATGATCAGCCTGCATGGCTATCTGCTTCTCACGTGTACCCGGGAGATTCAATGTAGCAGATTTCTTGTCAACAATCTATCGGAAGTTAGCAAGATGGCTTTTATTCGGTTCATTCGGTCGACGCACAAGACCTATCTTGCCATACGGGTCTCCCTCGTAGAAGCTGACGACAAGACATTTCTCGGGCAAATGGCGAGCTTGTTCGAATCGTTGCGTCGCTTGGTCCGAGTTTTCCTTTAAGGCATCAAGGAGGTCATTCCTTGGCTTGGACATGCCCGTTCTGACTATTTTGGCCACGATGTCACCAAGACTGGCATAATTCCCGCCCTGGTGTGGCGTAGCAAAGAAAACGAGAAGACGGGTCGCCTCGACGATAGATCTGTATGCAACATCTAATGTGGCTGCGACGAGTGCCTGTAGGGCATTAACATTAGAAATTGTTGATGCAAACAAGCACTCACCTCTTTGACGACCAATCCACCTAAGCTATGACATATAAACACAAGAGGCTTTTGTGGATCACTCTGTGTTTGATCAGAATGGGACTCTAGTCAAATACGGCTTGTCGCTTAGAGGCATACAGTACCTTCCGCTTCAGTTTGAGCCATTGTAGCAAGTTGTTCGCGTGGCCGGCCAGTTTGATAGCCGTCGCACCAATGGCAGGACTCGAGTTGTATTCGAAGAGCATCACCCGAGAGGGTCTTGAAAGGGCGTTCGGGAGGAAGTCTTTCAGCCAGAGCTTGTCACCCATCGTCCATGTCTTCCGGGCGTGATCATCGCTGTTCTTGAAGTTGAGGCCGTGGACAGCGACAACACTAGTGGCACAATCCTGTTAGCTTCGCACGGCTACGGTGACCGTAGAACATACTCTAGCTCTGCCACGCGGGGAGGATCGTTGGAGGCGCTGTCGAAGATGACATGGAGGCCAGCCTGGGTCATCGTCGACGATCGGAGGGTGCTGCAAGGCAGCCTGGGCAAGGGAGCAAAAGCGGGGTAGATTGCGGATTTACCGTGGGCACTACTGTAGGAATGCCGATCGAATTTCAGGCACAAGCAGTAGTGTTGTGGGGCAAAAGGACTGGCAGAGAGGATATTTGAGGAATGAAATGAGGAGATATAAGAATTGGATGACCCGGCATCAGCCTAGGATAAGAACAGGTAGTTAGAGTGATTTAAAGGAAGAAAAAGCTCAAAAGTTCAGATTGACCAGAGGCTTGACTGAATATTACGAGGTAGTTTTCAGCCGCACGATGAACTGCAGCGTTCATGCCTCAGGCGTCAAATCTTTACAAACCCACAGGTAATGCTGACGTGAATTCCAAACCTTCCTCCCCACCTCATCAACCGAGTTAGAAAAAACTTGCGATCGTTTCTCCAACGGCCCCGCGACTAACTCCCAAGAGGCGTGAACAGATTAAAACGACAAAACTGTCCGCTCCAAGCACGATTTTGTCCTTGACAGGGTTGAAGAGGACAACGTCACAGACACCGACCACGAAGGCAAATCTAATACATGGAAAGCTCAGTCGGCAGTTAGAGGCTACTGCAGCCGCATTGGCTTTACTACAGCCGATGATGGGATTGGATGATCGAGTAAGCAGAGCGCAATATCTGCGACGTCGCCCGATGGTGGTGGATCGGTTGTAAAGATTGTCTCTCATCGAACGTCGTTGAACACCGTCGATCGTAGATTAGGAAGGAGAAAGAAATTGTCAGATATTAAGGTGAATCGTGTATATTTCTTGATTCTGTCGCAATCGAAGGACTATTGAGACCTTATATCTTCGACTGGTTCCTTCTAGGACTTGAGTCCTAGAAAGTCCTAGATGAAAGTCCTACGATTTAAGTTTAGGACTTCAAACTTTAATCCTGAACCTTAATCCTGAAGTTGAGGGTGAACCCTCCAACATTCAACAGAAATCTTGGGCACATCAGATTGAGTGGGGAAACGTCAAAGCCCAGCCCCGCAAGGCATCTTTCCCTAGTAACTAATGACTAAATCAACTCTAGTAGAGTTGATTTTATCGACCCACTTTAAACCTAGTAGGGTTGATTATTGCCAGGGTGTAGAGTTGATTTTACATTATTCCGCATACAGGAAGGGTAGTGCTGATCAGAACAGGGGCTTACTATCCCTTCAATTGTGGAGGAGCTCCGGCAGGTACCCTGCCCCACACTATCCCTGTCAATGGCGGGGTACCTCAAGGAAACCAAACGACACGTCATTGAGCAAGACCGTCCAACCTCCAATACAAGCCAATCTTAATCAGACAATGACTTCCCAATCAGTACCATCATCACCACCTATTGAGGCACTTAACGCGTATGATGATAGTAGTTTTATCAATGAAGATAACAGCCGTCAAGAGCACTCGGGTGATAGCACTCGGAGACCGGCTTTTCCAGCTGCCGATGACCGAGGCTTCAAGTTTCATCCCTTCGAGGTGCCGCGACGGGAACTTCTCGTCAACGAGCTGCCCGAGAGCCCATTGTCACTTTTCCAACACTTCATAGCCATGTCTATAGTCAAAGAATGGGTTAAATACACTAATGATTAGGTTACTAGCCTCATCCAACGCGGCGTTGTTGATAGTCAAGAACACGAAATGACAGAAAGGTCACGCCTCAATGCCTGGAAGCCAACCACGATTGCAGAGATGTACATTTGGCTTAGGATCCTTATCTATATAGGGTTCCATAATGAGATAACGGTTGAAGATTATTGGAAAACATCTCGGCTAGAGAATCAACGGCCTGAACACTCGATAATCAAATTCATGACTTACGATCCATTCCAGATTCTTTATCGTCATGTCCGTGTTTTTGACCACACCGAATTCGCTAACGGTTATGAAAATCTTCCTACCGTCTTCTAATGTGTTGAGTCGTGGTCTCAGCACCTTCAACAAGCAACGACAGAGCTCTGCGAACCGGGCTCCCATCTTGCCGTCGACGAGGCTATGATCCGATATACCGGAAGGAACAAGCAAGTCACGCGCGTCCCCAACAAGCCTGTTGATACAGGCTTCAAGGTGTGGATAGCCGCCCAGCTAGGCATCTTCATGAGGTGGATATGGCACCAGCCCGGCGCAAGATACGGTCCTGTTGGTGTCCAGAAGAAGCCGGCATCACAAAAGAAGAAAACCAAGGGAAAAGTCAAGGCTTCTAGCAAAACTGATAAGGTAGAGGATGTTATTTACGTGGCTACGGAAGCCGAGGCTAAGATCGTGGCTCTTAACTCGACTCAAAGCGTCGTTGTTGCCCTTATTAATCTGCTGCCGATATCGACATATCACGTTTTTGTCGATAACCTCTTCTCATCGCCGGACCTTTTTCGTTCTCTTCGTCAGCACGGCCACGGCGCAACCGGCACAGCTCGGTCAAACTGTGGCATCTACAATGGTCTTGTAGAGGCCAAAAGGGCCGACAAGGCAGGAAAGTCGGGCTTCCAGTTCAATGAGATCAAGGTCATCCCAACGGCTGATAATCAGGTAAGATGATTTGATCTTCTTCTAACGTATCTACTGACTAGTCTTCCTTCTCCCCTATTATAGGTCAATCAAGTCGCATGGAAGGACAATGCACTCGTATTGTTCCTTTCGACCGTCTTCGCCGGCGATGAGAGGACTGAGCGTTGGAGGAGGAGACCGTCGACGAAGACTCCGACGGCACGACCGATACGGCGCTTTTTTGGCAGTGAGCCAGCCAAGCTAATATCGATCCCTACAATCGCTGCTTCTTACAACGACGAGATGAATCATGTTGACCGAGGCGACCAAAGACGGTCATATCTTGGCTACGATCATCCTATGCGCCGAGGCGCTTGGCAAGCTATTGCTTGGACCTTCTTACTGGATGTAGTGCTAGTAAACAGCTTCCTCTTACAGCTACATGGCCAGCCGGCCTGGAACCGTTACACGAACCAGAAGAAGTGGAGGGAATGCCTCTACAATGAGGTCTTCAAAGCCTTCCACTCGGAAAGCCAATCAAGGCAGCTTTTTCGAGCTGGAGACGAATTCACGCCTGCTACACAACATAAACATGTCCGAAGAGGAAAAAAGTCAAACTGTCACGCTTGCCAGGGGCTTCAATTAGGGCGGCCAAGGTCAAGAAGCTCAAGAAGGCCGTTGGAGCCGGTCAGTCGCAATAAAAGGAGGCGTCAGACCGTTTGGGGGTGTCAGCAGTGTAATGTAGCGATTTGTCACTCGAGGGATTGCTGGTACTTCTATCATGGGCTAAAATAGGTGGGATGCTAGGTATCTATGATTTGGCTCATTTTAATTGGTTGCACCACTCTGTCGTGACCTGGCCGGAGCTCCTCCACAATTGAAGGGATAGTTGCCTATCAAATCGAGGTACCTGGACTCATGGTTAGCCAAGGTCGATCACTCCCACAGCTAATCTTCTAACGTTATACGAGAAACTGCCCCTATTGATCGCGTTTTCTAAGATTTCCTGCTGTTGTTTTTGCCAAAATAAAAACTGACGATGCCAGCCACCCAGCCAGGCCAACAGCAGCGCCTCGAAGACCGTCTTTTTCGACATTTCAGAGGCTGGACCTGGTCAGAACGATCTCGTGATACTAGCTCTTGGCTATGGGACTTTGGCTATGATATTCAACGTCATGGCTTACGCAAATGGGCTTGCAAGGACTGTATCCTCGTAAATCGTCCCACTATCGCGAGTTTTACCTCTTCAGGTCTCCAGAACGCGGCAAATCATCTATGGCGTGAGCACAAAACACCAGCACCAGAGGGGGAGAAAAAGAGCACAGCACATCTGAAATCCGAAGGCGCACTAAAATCGAACCAGCCAACTATTGCCTCTGTTTTAAAACTAAACGTCAACAAGCCTACGGAACAGAATATTGCGAATAACATCATCTCACGCTTTGATAAACAATACTTTCAGCGTATGCTAGTCGAGTTAATCGTCAGTAGCAACCAGTCCTTGTCATTCGCCGAGAACCCCATCCTCCAAGAAATCTTCGACTATTTGAATCCCTCCGTTTCGATCCAACGGGCCAACTTGACTGCCAGGGCCGTCCGATATAAGATCATTCAAGAGTATGACCCGCCATAGGCAGAAGGTTATCGAGGTGTTGAGGAACTCCCCTGGAGCGCTTCATATCTCATTTGATGGCTGGACGTCTCGAAATAAGCTTGCCCTTTATGGCATTGCTTGTTTTTTCAGAGATGAGAACAATCGGCCATGCAAAATCATGATTGGGGTTCCAGAGGCTCATCGTCACTTCGGCTCCACGATCGGTGGGGAGGTTCTCGACGTCTTACACACCCTTGGCGTGAGTCCAGAAAAGATTGGCTATTTCACGCTCGACAATGCTGAAAACAACGATACTGCCATGGAGGTCATTGGTGCTGAGCTTGGGTTCGATGGCCGACTACGTCGAGGACGCTGTATTGGCCACATAATTAACTTGTCAGCCAAGGCGCTCTTATTTGGAAAAAACGCCGACGCGTTCGAGCAGCAATTATCAGGCGCAGAAGCGTTATCTGATACTGAATACGCTCGATGGCGCAAAAAGGGACCAGTTGGCAAGTTACACAACATCGTAGTTGATGTGCGTATTAGCCATCGGCTGATTTACTTATTCAAGGAGGTCCAGAGGGTGAGCGGTTTTACTAAATCCTATTCGTCTCCTACTAATTTCGGTATATCTAACAGGACGAAATTGATCGCGCCGCCACCCTTAAACTCCGATCCAAGAAACCACTGAAGCTAATTATCGATAACGACACGCGCTGGCTGTCACAACTCTACATGATCCGCAGGGCTCTACGGTTGAAAACCTCTATCGAACTCCTACTGATCAAGTATAAGGCGCAATGGGAGGACGAAAATAGGTCTAAAAAGACTGGCCAAGTAACACAAGCCAAGTTGGCGAAAAAACCACGCATCCTCCGAGACGAGAATCAGCTAACGGACAAAGACTGGGAGGTTCTTTACCATTTGGAGGCTATTCTGACTGTTTTTGAGACCGTGGTGAAGACGCTTGAGGGTGATGGACATATGCGCAGGCGTAAGCAAGGCTGGACTGGCTCCTATGGCAATATCTGGGACGTGGTGCTTGGCTATGAGTTGCTGCTTAACACACTGGAAGAATATAAGCAGCTTGCTGCTGACTTTCCTGATCCAGAGCACTTCCGCATTGGAATCAACCTTGCTTGGGATAAGCTGGATGAATATTATCGGCGGCTGGACGAGACGCCCATCTACTATACGGCTATGGCACTGCATCCAGCTTATCGTTGGGACTGGTTTGATGAAACGTGGGCTCATAAGCCTAGTTGGGTTGAAAAGGCAAAAGAGATGGTTGCCGACGTCTGGCTGTCCGATTACGCTCATCTCGAGGTTAGAACCAGCAGCAGCAGAGGCGACGACGAGCCACCGGCAAAAAGACCTCGGTTTTTCAACCCCTTCGAGAAGAACAGTCGTGTGCCGAACTCACTACCAGCCCACGCAGCAGCTATTGTTGGTGACGAGTACCAAGCGTGGCAGGCGGATCGTGACGCCAGCGACGGCAACGTTCGTGATCCAATTGGTTACTGGATCACTAAGCAAAGCAGATATCCTCGGTTATCCAGGATGGCCTTGGACCAGGCTTTCTATCCATACTCCATACTCCATACGGCGCCTTATGGAATATGGAATATGGAATGCAACCCATATGGAACTTAATCCATACATATGGAAACTAAGAAATGACGTCATTTACATTATCAACTAAACCGAATCTGGGTTGGAGCTCTGCCAGCCAGCCGAATCATCTAACCCCTCTACGTTGTTGTCCTCAATACCTTCCGCTTCAAGTAAATCTACCGGGTAACCTTGTGTTATCCCGCTTTTGATCCAACTCTTCATGCATTCACCTCTTTCAATTGTACGACTACCCAATTGGCACCGGTCCCATGAAATTGTGCGTCTCGCCCCGGAGAAGACGCGCTCCGGCTCGGCAGACATGGCTGGTATCGAGAGGATATCAACAGCCATTCGAGAGAGACGAGGGTATGTCTGTTGTTGTTCTTCTCTGAGCCACCAAGAAAGTGGAGAGCAGTCAATGACAATGGGCGGTTGCGTCGTGAAAGCATCGTACTCGTCCAGCTCACTCATAGATGGGCTAACAACGTCAAGCTCCCGAGCGAGTAGGTCATACTCATCAAGGCGCCGTATTTCGTCTCTCAGCTGTGGTGTCGTGGTGGGGAGCGGGAGTTCGTGGTAGTAGTCTTTCCAATGCTTTCGCACGCCGTCAAGAACTGGTTTATGCCAGGACTTTGGCCAGTTCTTCTTTATATGGGCTACACGTCGTGACGGATGAAGTATTATTGCCGCACCGTACGCAGGGCTCTCATCTGTAAGCTGATAATACTTATCGAATACAGCCCAAGAAGCTGCAATGCAGCTCCGTAGTGTGGCGTTGCCAGAGTGTTTCTGGAATGCTTGTGTATAATGTTTGTGAAGAACATCCATTGTAAAAAGTGAACGGTCTAGAGTGGCGTAACGACCCTCTGTAAGCTGAGTGATCTTCCAGAACGGTTGAAGGAATGCACGCGTCTCCCCTAGAGCACTCCACTCATCAGGCGTGAGGTAGTCATCTCGCAAATCCTGGTAATACTTCTTCTGGTACCACTCAACATAGCTCTGAAGATTGAGAGTGGTGTCCAGCAGGAGAAACCATGAGTTCCACCGTGTATCGTTGTCGAGCCCCAGCGATCTTCCAGCGCGCTTCTTGAATTCATTCCATCGATAGTCGTTTTCGCGCATGTGAATCGATATGTTGTGCACCTTTCCAAGAGGCCCAAGCCGCCGCCATCCTTGCGCCCTTTGTGGTTTGATCCTTTCAGAAAAATCAGTGCCAAAAGCCGATTCATCGGTGTCTTCGATATGCTCCAAAGCCGCTCGAGCAGCCTCTTTTGAGTCTATGAAAAGGAAAGCCTGAACTGCCAGGTTCACTATATGGCCGTGGCACCGGATTCTACGGGTCTTGGCTTCCCAGTCGACGCCCTTCTCCTGGAGATAATTGGCGAGTAAGCGGCATAATTTGTCGTTTGATCCATGGTTATCACCAGTGTAGAATCCCACCTTATTCCAGATATTATAATCCTCGAGCACGTGCTGAAGAAGCTTCCATTGTTCGGCACCACCGTGACTACCCGGCCCGTCAAGACCTGGCAACTCCGACAAAGCTAATAGTGCCTGCAGCGCTTCCTTTGCATCCGGATCTACAAATTTGACGCATATCCCAAGGAAAGCTTTGTGATTTGGAGCAGACCACACGTCAGCAGAGAGATGAAGTTTCCATGGTGTAGACTGCAATTTTCTTCGCAACATGTCTTTGTGTACACGAAAGGAATTGGAGACAAGCTTCTGTATGGAGCCGTGAGAAAGGCTGATGAGGTCATCTGCCGCAGGATTGACTGCAGAAATGAGCGCATGAAGCTCTGGCCAAGAACTGCAGTTGTAAGAGAGATTACGGACAGTCACGAGCTGAATAAGTGCCTCCAACGCTGCTTTGTGATTGATGGCATGTCTCAGAGTTTCTTCTCGTTTTGCCAGTTGCTTTGCAGCATGCATATCGCCGGCCTTGGCGAAAGCATCCTGAATCAGACGGTCACGCCGTTTTTTAATCGGATGTTCATGGGCTTCCAGCTCAATGCCGTGTATCTTGAGCAGATGATTCCGAAAGGTCGTTGAAACGGTCGTGGAGTAAGTCGGACTTACACAATGCATGCAGTAGTAAATCTTCTCGTTTTTGCGACCGCAACAAGATGGCTCCGAATTGAGGGGCTCACGGGCGTGAGCCCAAGTATTTGCGGTCGTTTTACGCTTTCGAGCCATGCGCTCTTGGACATCGCCGCTTGAGAATCGAGGGTTCGTGCTGAAGATTGAGGAAGAGCACAATTCGCTTGTGGACACTGGAATCCCCGCAGGGTCAGTGGAAGTGGATGTCATCAGCGAGGACATACGCAGCGTCCTTACACAGTGGTGTTGGAATTAAAGAAAGAGTGGAGAGTTAGAAAATCGCCCCTGAACGGGATTACTACAGGGATCAAATTTTTTCCGCCGTATTGCCATACTTATGGAATACGACATCCCCGTATGGAATATGGATTAACGCGTATGGATTATTCCATATGGATTAATTAATCCATACGCGTATGGATAGAAAGCCTGGGCGCCGAAATTGTCTGGATATGGGGGCTTGGCTTTTGGTTTTCCTCCTGGCTCACATTCCATTTGCTGAATATCATAGTCGCCCTGATCAGTAACAGCAAGATAGGTAAGATTCCCTGTCGGTGCGATAGCAGAAGTGTTGAAAGGTGCTGTGGCATCTCCAAGCTTCTTAACTTTTGAGCCAACTCCAGATGCTAGCTCCTCACACTTGTAGCCAGGAGCAACAAAATCAACCACATAGGAGCAATTCCATCCCTCCGCACAAACCTCAGACGCCCATTCTTTGCGAACCATGGCTTCGCCTATTACCATAGGTATCTTGAGAATGGAACTCTCAAAATACCTGCTGGAACCAGTATAATAGTCAAATTCGGCGGAGGTGAAGTTTTTAAGGGTTTCACCAATGTAGGCGGTTGAGTTCCATAACGACAAAGAAGGCTCGTATTGGTCATTGATCTTCAGAGGATCGCGCCAGTAGACTGTCTCCTCGTGCTCAAAGTTTAAAGTGCGGGCAGATGGGCATAATGCATTCTCTTCCTTGACCCCAACAACAACTGAGAGAGTTTCGGACGTCAGTACAACAACTAAGGGTGTAAGCCAACAATAGATGGCGAGAAGAGTGCCGATTTTAGCTTTCTTTATCGAGCCCCAGGTAAGAAGGGAGAATATATCTGAGTTGGCAGTGAAAATAGAGTCCATAGTCTCGAGTCGGGCCATTTTGTAGCGCATTACTAGCCATGCTCTCTGATAGAATGCCATAGTAACAGCAGTTCCAAGGCTCGCTTTAGCACAGAATGCAATAACAGTGCCATAGCGGAGCATTAGTGACTGATTATCAGCTTTTTTACCATGGAGGTTCAGGTAAAATAAGTGATGACCAATAGCAAACAAGGTGCCAATAACAGCCAAAAGGCACATGTTCCAGGGCTTGTGTCTGTATACATCCCAAGCTTTCCAGAAGTTGTCACACTTGCGCTTAATAGAAGGAAGGCCAGGAAACTGCCTGCCAGCTTTTCTCGGCTCTGTTATATCTCCGGAAAGAACTGGACATTGAGATCTGGGCGCTTGGCGAGATTTGTAAAGGGACAGAAGCATAATCTCGTCGGTGGCAAGGCTCGGCCTTCTAACCCTTCCAGGGAGGTCCTCGATGTAAGACGCCGGATGCTTTGGTGATGAATCCATATTGTACCGCGCGCAATCGTAACTGCAAAGTGCTGGACGGTTCCAAGATGAGCTGCAAACGTGCGGGGTTTGAGGATTATTACAAGAATAATATCCAGCGTCTCTTAGCCTCGTCTATATATATACGCCCTTACGTTCTTACCAAGTATTTTTGTGAGACATCCTGCAGCTAACCAGCCAATGATTGAAGGGTATTGAGGATAAACCCAGCAGGCTCACATACGGTCAGCTTTCAGGTTTCAGCCACACACTAGGCTGACATGCGTCTCCTTACCGTCATAACGCATGCAGAGCCCGCTCAACAGTCGAATAGCAGGGCCAGTTTTCCGCCAATGCTTTTGTAGCTTAGAGAGTAATACCGCATACTCAGCTACAAGAGGGTTAGAAAAGACTTGCTGCCGGTTATATCGAGGTGAATCATATTGTATTACAGTATTGAGCACTTGCACCTTCCCAGTCTGCCAATCGCGATCACTGGTGCCCTACAGGGGCTAACTTAAATCGGACCCCGACAGCAGCAACAACAGGGCTTTCTGTCATCACATCAAGCTAGCGTAGCCCTTCCACCGGCCGCTAAAAGATCTGCACCGGGGCGGTCCGATCTAGACTAAAAGAATCGAATGTTGCGAGATGATACGGGACCGGCTGCTTATTCCGGCTTTTCAGCTCCCCACCCTTGATTTTTTAGCGTCAGGTCTTGTGATAATTGGCAGGTGCCAGGTGATAAGGTGGCACACAGCCGCATTCATCCGCCCTTATAATTGAACTTGTCGCCTCAAATTAACCCTGCAGGTCTTACTACCCCGCTCTTCCCGGCGTTTAATGAAGGAAAGGATTGGCAGTTTCCAAGGCTCAGACAATACATATCAAGGATGGTGGCAAGTCTGAGGTTCGGGTAGTCGCGGTCTGTTGCTTTCCTGTCGGCGTCGATTGAGAATATGCAGCCGTTTCTCTTTTCATCTGTCCCCCATGCACCTGTGCAACCATTAATTGCACTCTGATGAAGCACAATGTGATTGCTCTACTCACGAGAGAAGAGAAAGGAGACCACATAGAGAGCACAGCGACCCCACGCAACAGATTGTCATAGCGCAGCCTGATATTCGTCACATTTTGCAATGCGTGACAGGGTTTTTCACTGATACGTCGCATGCTGCTTCTCGTGCCCCACCTCTTGTCTCATCTTATAGATTTTCTTTCGCAAACAAACACGCTTCCGGTAGTCCGGTGAGGCTGACGAGCCTTTTAGAGTCGATGCTGGTAAATCTCCCCACACTTTTGCCATTAGCCACCTGCAGTCGGAAGGCCTTACTATTAGGATCGCTGGCCTTGAGTAATTACCCATGCCAATTAGAAAGCCTCCTGGCGGCTCTATTCGCGCCAGATTATCGGTGGGCTCAGCTGTCTAGGGTTGGGAATGTAAGCTGAAATGAAGCGGCGGAGTGATCTTTCAGTGATCAGGAAAGCACTATTTGCTCATCGACAAATGCATAATTGCTCCTGTTTAGTCACGGTTTTAGGTGTCTGCGGATCAGCGCTCGTCGTGCTCGTTGTTCTCCAGGCTGCGGCACATTATACACCAGTCGACACGCTCTGGGCATACGATGAAAAAAACGTTACGCGATCAGAGTAGGATAAGTCGGCTTGGGAGGAAAGACGTACGCTGTTGGCCTCAATAAGGCCCAAACTTTGGTCTTGCTGTCCAAGCAATTATTGAGGCAGGAGAATATAACCGGTGATATTTTATCGACTACTTCCCTCATAACTAGATATATACGTAACGTAAGAGCACGATATCAAATTAGCTCCGGTGGTCTTTAGAGTTACAGTGTAACCTATTGCAATAAACTCAGGCGTAACCATTTTTTAGATTTCCTATTGCTGAGCTCTGGAGGTTCCTATTACGGCGAAGATTGATAGTCTGAAACTTGATGGTGATAAACTTGATATGTGACACTCATCGAGTAGGATAAGTCTAGGCGATGAGATATAGGTATGATTAGGAAGATAATATTTAGAAGGAGACTTATGCCGTGTTTGCGTCTAGTTTCTCAAGTATTCGATAGTTATACGAACATAGCAGGCTCAGACATCTATTTGTTCTCAAGACTCTATGCGGGTGGCATATATTAGCATTTCAGGGGCGGGTCTGGCTATCCAGACCTGACCATCTTCAAGATAGAAACCCATCCTGGCTTTACTACTTGGAATAAAATATCGAGATCTCTCGAACTATTTATCCACAATTAGACATAAGGACCCAACTTATGGTGTTGTTTCTCGCCGCCATCCGCTCTTACAAACAAGTACCATCCCCTCTATGATAGGTCCTGTTGAATACCGTCGCAGACTTGATATCCGCGGCTAAACGACATCCATGATCCATCTCTTGAAGGCCACAACGACCACACGTAGTCGATAGACGTCTGGGATTGTGCTAGTGTCACTGGTGCGAAAGCTTATATGAGTCTCTGCTGTATGTGAGAGATTGTAGTAACACAGAGTCGTATTTCGGGACTTATAATTTTATGTCCTATATTAACCAACGAAGAGTGTCATCTAGACTTCCTTACTTGCTTGAAACACGGGGATCCACGATGATTCTGACGTCCAAGCCTTTGTCTACCAGTAAGCTACGCAGCTACCTAAGCGCCGAATCGATGGTGATGCTGCTTAGTGTGCCAGCAATGCGGTCTTATTGTCAGGGGAGATGGAAGCTTGTCTATATCGAACAGGCTAGTATATGGTCGAGTGTATGGTGGTGCATACTGCCATCTGTGTGAATAAGAGGGAATCAACAAAGCTTGCTAATCTACTCCAAGTAACGAGTGGGCGCAAATTTGACCTTCTTAGACGAAATTGCCGTGATTGATATCTGTGGGATATGGTCAGAGACATCTATTGAAGCGATACAAGACCGGAGACGCTGTTGATGCTCCTAGCGGTCCATGAAGGCAGGCGAGAAGGTGACTTGGTCCAGACCGAAACGATGGTTCAGAAATAACGGGAAAACGTGTGGTGAGCAGAACGATCATTATAGTAGAAGAACGCTCGTATCTTCTAGGCAATTTTGGCCTCCAGGTTCGTTTCAGCATTGTACGAGACGTCTACAGACTACCATCTAGAAGACGAGATATTTCCATCATCATCAAAGTGAGAACGTCTCTGTAGAGCCACTGGCAAACTTTCTTCTTATTTTGTATTCGTCAAAGAGCTACTACAAAAGTCTAGCTGCTGCGTTGAAAATGGCCCTCTTCAAGTCACGCACTTGCGAGTCAAACCCAAGGTTCATCGAGCTGTCCATCTCCCAGTTTGTTGAGGGGCTACGGGCTTCGCGATACCCTAACAAGGAAGATAGAACGATTGTGTTCGATTGCAAGGGTTCTCAAGCGGGTGAAAGGCAATCAGAGATTAAAAACAGAAGGACATGGTTTGCACGTTTTAGCATGGGGAATTACATCCTTTTTGCGTGTCCTAGGATTGCGACTCTTATCATCAAACTCACAATGAACTCGATTAGGAGAATGATAATTAAGGAAGCATCCCTGATGCTTTGCCAGGTTTATGTCTGTAGGATCTCGTCTATCTCTTTTTTCACATCTACATAAACGATAAGTGAGGCATAACTCGATCAACCTTCATAAAAATCTATTATGTGCCAACTGTAGCACGCTTGAATCAAGAAAAAGAACCCCTATAGTCACCATTCCGCATCCGTCACCGATCTTTTGTCGCTGAGAAACACAACGCTATAACCCCGCAACAGAAATCAATACGAAACATCGACAATATCCTCACTGCTTCTCCATGAGAGAAGCCCAGTGGCGTGCTAAGTGGCTCGAGAAAGAGGCAGGGCGTACGTAATGCTTCCTCTTTGGCTGGCTACAGAAAGGACATGTGTAATGACCCGATTGTATTCGCAGACCATTGATCCCAAGGCTAAGGTTGTGATCCTGCTGATACTTTTCTAGATACTCGGTCAGATCCCGAGGAAGATTTTTGTACCAATCACCCTTTGGGAGAGTCACGTCGAGCCCGTAGGAAACCTGTGTATTACATCCGTCAAGCGAGTCAGATGTCGGTCCTGCAGAACTGGTCAAGTGATGCTGATCAGGTGTTGTGCTCGAAGACGCTACTCGAGTATGGAACGAGTCGCAGCTCTGGCCCTGAGGGGGAAGAGCAGGCGCATGTTGGGTAGTTGATCCTTGACTGGACGATGCTTGAATAGCTGACGATTGGGTGGTAAGTTTGGTCGACAATGGCTGAGTTCGTAGTAATGGTGGTGGTAATGACGGCGATGGTGCACTGGTGGTTACCCGGACCGATGGAGCTGGAAAAGATGTTGGCTGATCGGTTAGAGGTGGCGCCTGATTGAAGGGCTCCTGTGATAGATGGCTGTTTACTCCCTGCTCAAGCATAGAGCTGATCGGCGGCAACACAAGCACAGATTTGGAGGCTTCGAAGTTATACAGAGCTCCTGTGTGACTTATATATGGATGACCCGCATCACACGGCACAGGGCGCAGGTGTGGCATGCCGACAACGACGTCTGGTGTCTCATTGCTGCTCTTAACCACATTTGGAGCTTGGTGTGCTTGCTGCCCCTCCTCTATTGTCGGACATGTAGCATTGATGGTGGGTTGGTTACTGTGAGGACCACCCATCTCAAGTTGGGCATGTTGCTGTGGAACGCAGAGTGGGGCTGGTTGCGTTGGGGCTGCTGATGAAGTATTTGGGATGGATGGGCTTGATAGGGAAGTCTCTGTTGCTTGGAATTCCGGCGTTTTGAGTGGTTCTGACATCGGTTCCACCGGAAAAGACTCTTTTGGTGGTGGATGCAATGGGCATACAGCGTCGCCAAGGGCTTGCTCTGAACCAGATAATCCAAATACCCCAGCTCTCATGTTTTCCCCAGGGGCAGTGGCCCCATTTGCTCTTTCGTTGCAATGTATTACTACTAAGTCGGCATCGTGGCGAATTTCTTGTGTCGCATTCGAAAGTGCGTTAGTGCTTGCGGGCTCAGAGAGATTACAAGGCTCATCAAGCTGTCGTCTCAGCTCATGACAAACTATCGCGACGTCTCCTAGATCCAGTCGAGGCTGTTGTTCCTCTTCGCTTCGAAGATCGGATAATGATTGTCGTTGAGTGGGGGAACCATGAGGGGTGACGTGGTCTGAAGGCGAAACTGGTTGAGTTGCGGGCAAAGGGCTGGATTCCTCTTGATCCTGATCAGGAACCGGCATCTGAGTTCTGTGAAGCTGACGAGGAACTGAATATGGTAAGCGCACCAGTCTATCGAGGGAATATATATCCGACTCACCTTTCAGAGGCGTAAGTGGGTTGTTGTTGGCCACTGTTGATGACCGTTCTGTCGTGTCAGGTGCTTCAGACTTTGGCCCGTCTACTCCCTGTTCTGGCGAACGTTTTTCTGCCCGAGCTTTGAGAAATTTGCGAACCGATTGTATGTGAGGAACAAGCGAGTTCTTATTGGTCGCGTCGAAATGTCTCAAATCTCTTGCAGAGACCCAGCCGACGGCGCTTTTGGCGGGAAAGTTTTGACCATCAAAGTACATCACGGGGAACTCACGCTCCGTGACTAGAGATTCGCCATCGTTATATCCCTCCGCCCAGGAAAAGTTGCCTTGCTCGTTGCAGTAGCACTTAGGGAGGACCTCTGCTAGGCCGAGACTTTCTATCGAGCCTGAAATGCCGACACTTGGAAGATTCTGCATCGGAAGCAGGAGCACAGCTAACCAGTCTTTGGACTTTCCCCAAAATGCAAGATAGACGCTGCCGGCATCCGGGTTCGTGATACCCTCAAAGTCTTCGCCATTAGTTGATCTGTTATCGCCATATCTCCTGTGTCTATGCCGTGTTCGTCTTTGTGAAGACCTTGTAACTGTAGAAGAGATAATAGAACTGTCAAAGTCGGTACGATGGTCGCCTTTCTCGGCTTGACGACGCTTCCTTCCTATGGATTCTGGCGATGTTCTCTTTCGTTTGTTCTATGACAGTCAGTAAGCAATCATGAATGTGGGCAATGTGTTGAGCACTTACGCCTGCGGGAGTTGTCGTCGAACTCAAGTACCTGTCCTCGGGCATTCCTTTAGAAACGTACACTTCTCTGGCGACGATCCCTTGGAGTGTGGTATCATGTGGCTGACAAGTAACAGCCACATTGTTGGAGTCTTGCCGCGCAGAATCCTCGCCCGAGGTGCTGTGTAAATATGACTCTATCTTGGTAGGTCCAATAATCTCTAGTAGTTCGTAGCAGAGCGTGTCTACGATCTCTTGTAACGCCTGGTTATATGCCTTCTCCTCGTCCTGTGCGCCAGCCTCATAGTTGATTTCCAGCTCTTTTAACTGACCACCTAACTCCACGATATCGTCTCGGAGTCTCGATTTCTCTGAAGCAGGAGCTAAATCTAAGCTTGTCCATGACTTGGTGATGCGCCCTCGGATATCTGCCGTCCTCTCTTCGTATATTTCAGCCGGAGATTTGGCAATTGACAACCTAGAACTACATCGGACAACTATCTCTTCGACCTTTTTAAACCAATGCATAATTTCTTCAGGTGCCATTCCGGAAAGCGTTCGGGGATGTAAGTGAGTAATCGCGGCGACTGAGTCCGAAGGAATGTAGCAATGGTTGGAGGCGATGACTGGCTGACTAACTACAGTTCTCCGGTCGCGCGTTGTAGCAGTTCCTTGGCGCAAGGGAATATCGTCTGATGCCTACGGGAAATGAACGTCGCGCGTGGTCAGAAGTGAAAGGGAGTTTTAATTGTCATTATAGGATGTTTGACTAGAAAGCTCCGAGATGCGTCAGAGTTGAAACGCCAACGGGTAATTGTTAGATTGGCGGCTGGGAATTGTTAGATACGCGAGTAGGGTTAATATCCAATTAAAATAGGGTTAATTTTCACACTTGAGGATCAATCTAGTCCCCAGGAGCTTCTGTCTCTGTTCTGTCCTTTTAGGTGTTTTCCCCGCTACCCGGTATTAATATATCCGGGGACCCACAAAATACATGTTTCTTTTATCGAGGCGCTATCACTAATCCAACAGGAATGGGCTCCACTTTCGTTTATCACAATATTATTCTTGTATCCAGAAAAGGAGGGGGAATTGAACCAACCCCTCCCTGGATAACCCAGCAACGTGCACGGGCCAGATTTTTGTATCCTGTCATGTTACCGCCACGACTGCGTACAGTAGGAACCGTTCCAGGAGGGACTGGCTCTCTGTCGATGGCCCCACTTCCCGATGCCTGGCCGCGAGATGACTAGGGAGGTCGTACTGATCGCCTTGATTGTTGAGCCGACGTTTTGTCCATGACAAACGTTTTGTGATGCTGGAAGAGTGACCAGTAAGGATCTTTATAGCATCGAGCAAACCGATGATAGTGTCGCGGGTGGGCAGCAGAATAGTTGGCTGGCTCACCGTATCCTCAAAAATCGTCTTCGAGATATGTGTTTCAGCCACAGGCACACGGAAGACGTCCCACTCACTACTACTATCACGGGATGCGTTGTCGATAGACCATGGGACGATAAAATTCACATGCTTGTCCAAACCCCAAGTCGGGCCGGCGAGATAGGAGGTGTAGAACAACGCGCGTTTGCAGTGCCGTCGGATGGAGTTACGGCATTCAAAAGGCAAACGATCTAGATCATCATGGCGCGAATGATGCATTATCTCGACCCAGTGCGGCCAGGCTGCGCTTTCAATATCGTGGAAATTCCGGGGTGACGGAATTAAGGGGGTAGAGCGAGGAGAGAGACCTTCGGGATAACTGCGGAGACGGTAAATAGACGATAGAGACGTCATTTCTTGCGTGCGCGGCGGGGAGAAATAAGGAGCCCAGTACTGGATCTGGAAGAAGGATGGCTTGGCGTGGTACCAGGTCCCCTGAGCATGACTGGTACCGACTTCCTTGGTGTGGTCACAGTTGAATGCAATCTGGATGTAGTACCCGATCTGGCGGCTGAAGCGACCGTCGAAGGGGCCCAACGGCGCACATGTATCCTGCCAAAACTTCTTGAATCCTCGGTAGAGCTGAAGAAAGAATAGTGCATTCCAGGTCGGTGGCTTGGGGCGGCAGAAGATTTGGTCAAAGAGAAAGGCAGACCAGCTGTTCTTGGGAGGCAGACGCCGACGAGTAGTCATCCAGCAAGGCAGCTCCTCCGGTAGAGCAGATCGCAGTGAGGATGATGATGTATTGATGTCGCCGTTACTATCATCATCCGCTGTAGCTTGACGGTACTTGTCCCATGCCTCCGCGTAGATGCCGTGAACAGCCTGGGCGGTGGGGATACGGCCAGTCTCGGCTGCCGACTCCTCCTGGGCTTGCTGTAACATATCCAGGACCGGCAGTTTCTGGCGTCCGACCTTACCTCGGAGCCGATCCCAGTACGAGTGCAGCTTGGCCAGGAAGTGCTGATGATAAGCACGGGCGATCTCTTCCACCGCAAGAGCGACGGCACGGTCGGCAAGAATCTCTGCGTCCTGGTTACGCCCTCGATCGTACTCTGCCCGAGCATTTCGAACTAGCCGTTGGAACAGTAACTCGATAGTCACTTGGTTGGTGGCAAATGCTTGAACATTGGCCTGGTGGGCTAGCTTAGCTTGAAGCGGGCTTCGAGACATGTAGATGTTCACCAGAAGCTCGAGCGAGATGTGGCCTGTCTGCCAATTGATATGACCATCAGGGATCCACAGCGTGCCAGAAGTCCGGATAGAGTCGCCCAGACCGAGACCCCTCCGCTCCTTGCGACGACCGCTTCTAGGGCTGCCGCACTTGACCTGCCACGTCGATTTCCATATCCAGTTGTCAAAGCTATATTCTCGCTCACTGCTGACAGCATGGATTAAGAGACGACAGAAAAGCTGTGCGGTATAGAATGCGAGCATCTGCCGAGCAGGATCAGGGGGGGGAAGTTGAACGATCAGCTGATGAAGCCGTGGTTACCTCGGAGAAGATGTGATCGAGCGGAAGTATAAAACGGGCAGCTTGTGCAGACACGAATGCGGTTAGCATCTGGGTCGGAATCACCCAGAAAGGCCAATGCTGCTCCTCTCCGACGATGGGAGGGGAAGGCGATGACGGAGATGATGACAAAGAAGAAGAAGGAGGAGGAGGAGGAGCGAGAGGAACTTCCCAGCACATTGGGCCCGTATGGGGGCTTTGATTCGGCTCTAACCTACCACCAACCCACATGGCTAAGATGACATCGAGCCGGAGGGTGACCTCTTTCCGAATTCCAAAGTCGGATTGTCTCTTCAACGACGAGACAGCTCTCATATGCCGCTTATTAGCGTCCCACGCATCCAGGATGCGGGAGCGGCTGAGCTGCGAGACAAATGCACGCTGGCGACTTTGATCCGTGGCGGCCAGGTCCTTCAGCATCCCTTCGCCAAAGGCGAGAAGCGGCAGAAAACCTGAGCTGAAGAGCTGGTAATCGCTGAACATGACGCCGAATAGCTCCTTGCTACAGTTGTACGCCTTGGCCCGAATGACACCCGGTGACCTGGCTTCTGGGTGGCCAGGGTTCGATTTCCGAGTCGACTTCGCCCTCACGTAGTATCCGCCTATGTCCCGGAGGAGGTAGGGCCGATAGTAAGTGGCCTCCATCGGAGCTTCTGGGGCTACACCAACTACCTGGTCGTGGAGATGACGACAGCAGTCGCTCTTCCAAAGAAGCGTCCACGGTTCATGGTGATGGTGATTTTGGCTCTCGCTGTTAGACGACGTGGGCGGCATGAGGACGTGATCTCGCATGCCCACATCTAGCCAGCAAGAGTGCATGTCGATTTGGCTCGGGTCGAGGCCAGCTAATATACTATCCCGAAACAGACACAAGCTGTCTTGAAGACTCTCTGACGCGAACATGTTCTTCAGGTCGTGGGCCTGAAAGAGGAGACGGGGGTTTTGGAAGTAGGGAACTGCGTCCCCCTTCTTGCTCTGGAGCCGATGCCGATTCGCGTTCCTCACAACTGCCGCCCAGAACTGCGGGAGGACACTGGCTGGGATGCCGTATGCCAGACGATACGATCGACTCTCGTCTTCGGCGCTCCAGCGACCAGCACCCGGCTTTTCCTGGTAGGCGCGCGACTTCGCGTAGATCAGGTCGTATGAACCGGGGATTTCCTGTCGCACGTGGATAGGGACAGTTTCGCGGACAGCCGGGAGGATGATCTCATCATAGAGATCCCTGAATCGTGCGAGGGAGAGGCTGTTGGTGGAGGCTCGTGTTTGCGAAGGGGCTCCGCTAGGGAAGAACATCAAGACGGAGAAGCGGACGCCGGCGGTGGTGAAGGTGCCGATGATGGTGTGACGCGTATGTGCCAGGTCCAGGCCATGAGGCTGTATCACTTGAGCGGTGGAGATGTTACTCGTGTGAGGTGAGAAGAAGGAGAGTCGAAACTGATTGGGGGCTCGGATGGCTGACAGGCTCCTAGCACCGAACCAGACACTGTCGACATCCCACTGTCGCGCGATGGTCACGGCGTCTTGGGACAGCGAGGCCTGTGTCTTGCGGAAGGACAGCGGCTCGGCCGGCTGGTCGGAGAGGAAGCTCTGCCACTGTGAGAAGGAAGCACGTGGATCGCAGGCCTCATCGTGTCCCGCAAAGACGGTAGGCAAGGGAGGAAGAGCACGGCTGATGTGTTGGACGTATTCGGGAAGGGTGGAGGTATGTTCCGGCTCTTCACGCGCGCGTGGTTCTGGACCTGGTTGAGATTAGAACGTGAGTAAATTCACAGAGTCACTCTAGACGGATGGATTGGCGAAGTAACATACAGTCACATTGATGGCTGAAGAATTTCCGGAGTATCTGGTCATACGCGTCGCTCTGTGCGAGTAGAAAGTCGGGGCCACCGGCTGTGTCTTGTTGGCGGATTGCTTCGAGGAAGCCACTGAGGACTGGATCGTCTGAACCGAGTGAAGAAGATACTGCAGCTGCATCGGGCGACTCAGGGAAGGTCGGCGTAGACGGGAGAGAGATTCTGTGATGGGGTGGTTGACTGTCCCGCCGAGTAGAGGCAGGAGGTGCTGGAGGCGTTGGGGAAGTCGGCCCTAACGCGACATCGTTGTCAAAGCCGAAGCTCTCCGATCCGTCATCGCCCTCGCCGTCTTCCACAGCCTCGTCAGGAACCGACGAAGGGGCCGGACCATCGTGCAAGGTCAAGGCAGAGAACTCCAAGGTAGGCGGTGGATCTTGCGAGTCGGCAAACCATTGGACGATCTGCTGTGCCCTTGTGAGGTGCTGCTGGTCGCGATGTCGTTGGACGCGGACACGCGTTCGCTCACGCGGCGACACGGCGGGATCTATCTGTGGACGGCCAGGCCTAATAGAATTTCCTTCATCATGATCATATTGTGGAAACGCATGCGACTCTGGTGCTTCGACTGCCGGGAGGGTCTCTTCCACCTCGTCTTCCCCAGTCGCGATTTGCCCACTGGGAAGTGTTGCACCACATACGACCGAGACGCGAATAGGGTTGAGACATGGTAGTGATGATGCCTGCTCGTCGATCGATCGTAGTGGCGCTTCCGGTCGTGGAGAGGTATCCGTTCGCAATGTCGTTTCACTATTTAACAGGTCTAGGGTAATACATCAGCTACCTTTTATTTGCTGGCAAGTATTTATGTCCTGCTTCTAGAGAGGGAGTGAAAGTTCAAGTAGAGAATTAAGTATACTTAAAACTTCAGTATCTTCGGATATAATTTCTATAGGTGCATTGGTCGTGGGAGTGGTTGTGTGGTGAGGGCGGATATCAGTGTTGTGCGTCTTGGTGTTTTGGCGGGCATTCAACCGGCGTTGTCTTCCTCGATCCCGCTCCCGAATAACTCTTTCTGCTTTTTCATGTTCCGAGAGCTTACGGCGACCCATTATGATTGATGATACGTGATGATAATTTCAGTTTGAGGAAGCGATGATCAAGGGAAAGAACATATCACGGCCTACCTGTCGGTTTGTTTATTTGTTTATTTACTTTGTGTATATAGATGTTGACATCATTTATCTCTATAGAGTTTTAATCCCCGGTCTCTTTGCTTTTGAGTTTATACTGTTGTCGACAAAGGGTAAGCGTATTATGTGACTGCCGGGTGAAGTGATTGGTCTTTACTTACAAGGATATAGGTGATGGAAGAAATGAAGTGGCGTTAATCGGCACGGGCGGGAGCCGAGGAGACGATATCGCCTCCTGCCGCAACTCACATTAGGCATCGTTTTATGTGTCTCCCTTTACGTGTAGTAGCAGCACGGGAGGCATAATATTACTAGCTACAGAACGGAAGAGTAAAGGCACTCAGTAGTGGCATATGCATATATCTTGTGGTTTCTATAATATCTATACATAGATAGGTTAAGCAGTCAATAGCATACTGCGCTCCTATTAGCTATTCCTGGTCGTTCTATTGGTTGCGATGAGCATCTCCGTCTGGACGACGTAAATGCATAAATGCATAATGGTCTGCATGCTCGTCGGATAGGTGGGAGATCCCGGACGGAAGGACTTGGAACATTGATACTTTAACTGGGCAGGGAGACTGGGTATAGAAGGCATCATGGACTTTTATTTATGGAACCTATGCTGATGACTGAGATGGTGCTGATATCCAAAACACGGCTTTGCTCCCAACCCTGAGATTCACGTGTCTTCGTGTTACTCTTCAGGGTTGGGATATCGAGTGGAACCAGCGTCCGCGTTTATTCTTTATCGTATTGGCTCGAGGAGACTGACAAGGATTGCGTCCGCGTTTATTCCTAATGTCATTGGTTACTGCTGTAAGCCATCGACAAGGGTGTGTCGTTATTTCGTAAGCAACATTTTGGCGTGGTTTAGTCTGGGATAGATTTGACCGTGAAAGATGCAAAAGAAGGCAGGATATACGCCGCAAATAGCAACTAAAATGTCAATAATAGATATCAGAACATTAATTATGCTTTTGCCTACCGCTGCATGTTACTTTCGCCTTACCTTTTGCCGTGGTTGATTTTTAACTGATTTTTAATTGTATTTTCTGGCCGACCTTCGAATTTGACTAAGACATTCACGATCCTGCCAACCCTGTCCCTACTTACCCTCTTGATAAACGCCGTAGCAGTAGGCCAGACTTCTTTACCAAGCTCAAACCCGACGTTCTGCAATCCTATCAGCACGGATCGTCTTACGCTTAAAATACCCGTCGGTCAACACAATCTTTGTTACCCTACTGTTGAAGAAAGGAACACTAACGATCTCATCACGTAGGGGCCGCGGTAGATGGAACTCTAGGGTAGGCGGTCGGCATTGCGCATGATGCTCGGGACAAACGCTACAGAGCTCATCGCCCTCCATGCACCATCGCCAGTCAGGTTTGCTATCAAGGAATTGGCTCAAGACCCCGCGCGAGCAGTATTCCTGCAAAAGATACAGTTGCATGGCCTCTTTGTCTGCTGCTACAGGTCGACCTAACTGCGGCTGCCAGGCTGCACTAAGTAAAACGATCGACTCGGCTACTTCGCCATCCCGACCCGCTCTACCTGACTCCTGAGAGAAATCCGTCAGAAGGCTCGGGGCATCGACGTGAATGACCAATCGAATATGAGGGTAGTCAAACCCAGGACCCAGCGCTGACGTCGCCACGATGATAGGCGAATCGGCTGCCGTTAGCCATCGCTCTATGATCGCCATCTTCTCTTCTTCTGTGCCGGACTCGGCTGTGTAGGACGGACAGCCGAGCATGTCAGCAAGCTCTACCACGAGATCCTTCGTCGGACAGTATATAATGACCCGGTCCCGCTCGCTCTTGAACAGGTCTGTCCGGGTCCAGCAAGACTGTACAAGACAAGCTGCCTGCTCACATAGATTGCCTAGCCCACGTTCTTGCTGGACGATGTATCGGATGTTAGGACGATTTGTTGACTCTCTGACGATATGCGGCCGCACGAGCTTATTGTGCTCAAAGAAAAGCTCTTGATAGATTGGTGGTAGTGTCGCTGTCAGCCAGACAGTCTGTGTACGAATCTGCCGTACGTGCCATGCTAGCTGCGACATACTTCGTCGGTAACAGCTTGCTGTGATCGTGAGATGGCATTCATCGATCACGATCCGATCTAGACACTGTCTATCAGACAGTCGGTTGGCATACTCTAGGAACGCCTCTGTACAAGCTGCCTCGGCCGATACAACAACGATGGGGGCTGATTTCTTCGAGCCTGGGCGCCAGATATGGTGCTTTAGCGCGACTTTATCAAGGCGCCCGAGCATATTACCGCGTAAGGCTACAGTGGGAAGGATCAGGATGGTTGTTTCAGCTCCCGCCAGTGTGGCTCCGACCATGAATACCAATGTCTTCCCCGAACCCGTTGCAAGAACGACGATGACCTGCTCAGGTGCACGTGGACCCATGGTCGCCAGCATGGCATCCCGCTGACCAGGGCGACGCAACTGTAGCTCTGGGTCGTTATGCAGCCTACGGGCGGCCGCGATGATTCCATCTTCTTTGGCAGCCGGCCTTGCACGAAACCGTACCTTCTTGCAAGCATTGAGTAGCCCTTGCGCTTGTGTATCCGATACGGCAGGGGGCCGCTTACCCTGGAGCACTTGATCGATCCGAAACAGAGACCGCCAGCTTTGAGACGCTCGGTAGGCACGGTGAAGTGAGCTTGTCACGGTCAAGGTCGTGCTGCCGGCATAGCTATAGTTAAATGTCCGGAAACTATGATTGCTCATCCCGGCAAGGTACGCAAGATCCGCTTCATCCTCAACTTCTTCAGATGCCGCGATCTCACCCATGTCGAAATTAGCCTGCTCCCTGGCGCTGAACTTCTCCTTTGTAATAGAAGCAGCAACTTGGCGCCACCATGCCACCTGGAACTGGGGCACCTCTGCCCGCATACATGCCCTCCGGAGGCAGGATGAGACCATACCGTCCCTCCAGACCTCGCCACCAAGCTTTGACCATAGGTATGGCGAAAGTAGAGCCCCCGGCTTGCTCTGACGTAGAAAGGCCTGACGCAACGGCAGCACGAACGCGAGATATGTCAAGAGGAGGTTTCCAACGGCCGGGGGTAGGAACCTGATGTTATCCTTCTCCTCCCCGGTCTGTTCCTGGCTTTTACTGTATCGCACATATATCATGACCATCTTCTCCCACAGAAATACCGACCGGCGGCGGGCACCCGTGTTGATGTACGTGATGGAGAGTAGTTCCGGGGAGCGTAATGGAGGGCCCGAAGGAACCGAGATGGGTGCCAGCATCCTCTTGAGGAACTCCTGAACATGCGCCTCATAGATAGCTATCGCCTTGGGGCAGAGGCGAACCCCACCGTTTGGATCCAGCCGCACGAATACCTGCCGTAGATCCGCCCTCTCTTCGATCTGTCGGAGCAGGGCGTCATGCGTCCCCGCCAGTATCTCGCGATTCCTCTCGTCTGTCAACCACGAAGCGCCGTAGTCGTCTACATCTAGATCGTCGTGCAGCCTCCACGCCTCGATCGGAGCAACATCCCTCATTCCAAACAAGAGCTTATCATACAGAAGCGAGTGCGCCTGGCGGAACTCAGACTCGACCAGCTGTGTCACTTGTTCCATGTGTAGTTTCGTCCCCATATAGTCGACCGTTTCCCCATCAAGGGACCAGCGGGCTTGGTGCTTGGTAAGACTGGTGCGGGAGGCCGCAAAGAGATATAGCCTCCATTGCAGTACATGTCCGAAAGGTGTCTCCGCCATCTGCTGAAAGTACTTCTTGCACATTTGATCCAGCAGATCGGGGATTCCGTCTTCGTCATCCTGCTTCTGGAAGCACACGAAGTCGAACAGGATGAGCTGGGCAGTCCAGGTGAGCGCCGATAGATTGCTGTTGAAGTTCCCTGGTTCGCGCCATGTGCACCGCTTTACCACCTTGTCAGCCCCTTTACTACAGGCCAGCATATAGTCATAATCACAATCTCCATTCTAACTACTGAATTATTCTTCACAGGAACAAGTACTTGCATGAATAGAAATAATATAGGCCTATCTAATTTTGAGTATTAGATGGGGTCAATCTCGAAATATCTAATTCTTCCTTTGGCGGAGCAGAAGGTCTGCATATAACAGGACTCGAATTTCCGCAACTCTTCCGCTCGCATTGGCGTCATTCCTATCTTATGGCTTGATATATGATCCCTAATCTTGTCCGAAGATGTTGTGAATCGTGAAGGCCCTGCCGTATAAGGACAAATATTACACCGAAACCCTTTATATACTGGTAAACCTTGAATCTGGGCAACCTTTTGGTTCGGTATGTACAATTGAGAAAAGCGACAAAGCTCATACTGGCTGAACCTTTCTATCAATGTCTTGCAGGCTGCACCAGTGATCTGGTGGATAGTGTTCAAGTGGCTGTATAACGACCTGGTCCCTGGCTGAACCATCGAACCGCATGTGATGCATATTAGAATCTGGTACTGGCAGTTGTAGAGAAACCCATCGGAGAGATCGTTTGTAATTTCACCACCCAAAGCTGTCTTGACCCTCTTAGGAGCTCTTTCAGGACTCTCAGGGCTTGAGGCTCTCTTCCACGTATGCAGTGTGACATTGAGAGACTTGCAGGGTTCCCTATCCTGAGCTTGGCAATTATCACGGTAATATTGGACATTCCAGTCCTGCCACATTGTGGAAAGCCGATAGTACATTTCGAGAAGCTCCGGTTGCAGCCGAGATGGTAGAGCCTTATCGATAGCATAAGCTGTTAACAGCATTCGAGGGTGATGGCCAGCTCCTGCCGCGAACATCCGTATCGGATCGTCCGCGCTGGTTGGGTAGTAATAGTTTCTTTTTTCCACGAGCTTGCTGATATACCGCTTCGAAATTGCCAGGGATGCTTGCCTATATAAGAAGAGGGTCCATGGTGTGACGAGATCTCGAGTCAAGTATTTGAGAATGCCCGAAGCCTGAGCCGAGCTCAAATGCTTTTGCCTCCCGGAGGGATCTTGAAAGAGAAACTCATTACATTTGTAATGAGGCATCTTCAAGGCCGTTGACAAGAAATCAATCGTGGGCCGGATCATAGCGAGATACTTCAATAAGCTTAGACTGAGATTTGCCGGAAGATATCGAACAATGTAAAAAGAATAGTTGTTCGATGCTCTTGCCTTGTTGTAACTTATCACGATTATCATCCTTCCCCCGTAGAAAAAAACATTGCGCATAGTAAGCTCGGTATTGACGCAACGAATGCTAGTTACTTCACTGCCACGGCCTGGCAACCCGCCTGATATCTGTAACGCAGCGAAAGCCGATTTGTTGAGATCGAGACCAAGATTCAAGTATGCTAGACATGTGTCAGGACACCAATGAGATGCAGATGCAAAGGGTTTGCCACGGAACTGAGACGTGCGAAGCTTGTTTATCAGCATCTCCCGTGCATCTGATAGCTTGTTCTCAGGCTTTTGTAAGAAAGACCAGCCGGCCTTTCGACAATTCAGATCATCCCTGACGACATCAACATTGAAATTCGGCTCTAAGCCCAGCATCATTTCTTCGACCTGCTCCTCGACCAGTGCTATGGCCTTATGATAAGTTTTGCAGAAGTCGGAGAGTTTTACTTCTTTGTCATTGCCCACCACAAACGACCGGCCGTCAGGAGCCCAGGAGAGGTTACCGGGCATGCCCTCCTGTCTCACAATAGACTTGGCAAACGCCTTCAGTTCAATGAGTTCTCCGAAAGGTGTGTAGCAGCCTCGTACAAGATATCTTTGACGGATTGCTTCGAGCCGCTCTGGTTGGGAGTGGTATTGATCTCGGGATGGCCAGTGGTACGCAAGGGTAGTGTAGCTATATAGAGGAAGAGCATACTCCAAAAAGAGTGCACGTCCAACCCACATAAGTGCCGCTAGCCCGCCTGTAGAGTTGTGAGCTGGGTAATAAGACATGGACCGTCTTTGAATCCCCATAACAGCAGTATAATATATAATAACAGAAGACGACATGTCTCCAGCGGGGTCCTGATGTGTCCAGAACATCATTGAGAGCTGGAACAAAGCTTCTGATAACTCCAGCCAAGGCCTGGATGGTAAGAGGAATTCGGACTGATACTGTGAGCTATCATCTATTCCAATGCTCGCGTCTTCTTCAAAATCTGTCTCCCCATCGCTCTCATCACTGCTTGCATAACTTAATTCATCGTCCTCAACAGGTTGCCTACGGGAGTGGCCTTGCTCACGACTCGGAAGTTGACTCGCAAGAAATAAGATGTAATGCATCATCTTTTCTTCTTTCAGTCCCAGTTTGAAATTGTAGAGCTGTTGACGCTGTCGTTCCTTGAATCCCAAAACCCGAAAGACGAAGCATATTAATCGCTTCCAGACGGAAATATATCTTTTTAAGCACAACACAGCTCGGAATGGATGTGGCCAAAAGTCATTTCTCGAATACGTATTGAGCCAGCAGCGAGATGTGTATGACGTGCGGGCCATTGTAGCCATCACACGATTGAACATGATATCAACACCCTGTAGTAAGATGCGTAGCTGAGCTTCGGCCTCAGCAGAGCTTTCGACCGAACTTTCCTTCCATTTGCCAAGCAGAAAATCTTGGCCTTGGACTAAGTCGGGCTGTTGTGCTGTTGTGCTGATAACTTCGAGTGATCGATTACGGAATAGGTCAGGCCAGCGAGTATGTCGGAGCCATGGTGTCGTCTCGTTGGGGTTGATAACTCCGGCACGGCTATGGGGACTGCTCCCCATATGTAATTCTGGCGTTTCCATCCCGTCTCGCAACTCAAGACTTAGTCTTCATTTACTGCAAGTTGCCTTTGAAGAACATTGAGGGCCATTCTCTCTATAAAGTTTGGACCTGTCCTAGAAGCGCGCGTCAAAGACGCGCTGTTCGCGTGGAATTCCGTAATCAAACTTTAATTATATTACATATATTACACACGCTGCGAAGCTTTGAGCTACCACCTCAAACTCTATAAGAACCGTCCAGGGTTAGGACCAAAGCACCAATGAGATGATAAAGCGCCCCTACCATCGCTGAAAGTGGAGTCGCGGCAGTCTCGCCAAGTAGCCCCTTTCAAGTGAAAGAGGAAAACAGGGATAACGGCCCAATCAAGACGCGTCAAAGTCCTCTTTCAGTTGAATCTGGAGCTGGAATAATGATGTAGCTCCCATTTTCCCCCTCTCCTGTCACACTCCAACTCTTCCCTGCATCCTTCCCGTCGGGCGCAGGACCATGCTTCTAACGGCCGAAGTGAGTGCCGGACGCCACCGACAGCGCCCTAGTTGAGGAGAGTCGGCAAGTATCATCACTACTTGGGTAGGGCCTAGAGACCGGCCCCCCTTAGCTTGTGGTATCACTCCGCAAGCTCCGTGCCCAAGCACGGGGGGTTCATTGACTGGGAAAAGGGTCTGCTGACAGGGAAAATTGGGGTACCTCAATTTGGCTGCAAAACCCGCCAAATGAAGGTACCGACTTTCCCTCGGTTAGTAACATAATTCAGACCGGACTAACCCCTCCATCTGCATCTACGGGACAAATGCATCACAACCACAACACCATAATATATCATCAAAATCAGGTATGTTATTCATTCTTTTTCGCAACAACTAAGACATCCTACCTAACTTCAATAGTATCTTTAACTGATATATCATCATTATTTTCTTCTCCTTCTTCTTCTTCTTCTTCTTCTTCTTCTTCTTCTTCTTCAATCTCTTCATCATCTTCACTTTCATCGATATCCAATTCATCATCATCAACAGACAACGCTTTCTGCTTTCCACGCTGTTTTCTCGAAGGTGAGGCTATCAAATCGACTGCATCTTTGACTATATTAATATTATAGTCAAAAGGAAGAAGGAATGGAGGATTCCAGTAAAAAGGGAAGATCTTAGGTATATGTTCTTGCTGTGCATCTCTTGCTTGATTGGCCAATAGCTTGGATTCTTTCATCTTTGCGTGCATCTCACGGTGAGCACAATATCTTGTAGCTAGAAGCTCTGTAGACTTGATACAAAGCTCGGATTGAGTCTTGATGAAGAATTCACTGACTGTGAATGGCCTCACTTCCTGTGAGTATGAAGGTTGACTCCTATGTTGTTCAATAGGATGATATTCCTTCAAAGATGACCGTAGTAGCTTCCTTACAGAGAAAAGCCACCGCCGTAGATATACAGCCTCGTCTCTGACCTCCTTGGCATAATAACGACGAAGCTCTGCATCCTGATTTGCCCGTCTATTATGTTGATCCTTTGCGACACGAAGTCTGGCATCATAAACTGTAATTGGCCCGTAATTTGTTATGATAATAGTTCCTTCGTCCCGTTCTGAACGTCGTAGGCTCTTCTCCTTCAAACGGCGCATCTCCTGAGTAGCTGTGATACCGTTCAAGGCAAGGGTTGTGTGTGCTTTTCGCACTTTTTCGTTAACATGTAACACACTTGGGGTCAGAGGCACGCCTGAGGATATTGAAGATTCAATACGAAGGGCCACATAACCTTCGTATTGCTTTATTTGCCGTAGATTAAGCTGAGGTGTGTTGACATTGTTCCAGATAACCGTTGGAGGCGTGGAGGGCATCATTGGAATCCCCTCGTTGCGATGAGTATTTTGATGTATATCTCGTGATGATTCGCCAACTTCCTCTTCATTTGAATCATCGCGAAAGTCACTGCTGTGGTTGGAAGATAACCCAGGTGTGATATAGCCGGGAAGATCACGTTCAGCAACCTCCAAAGATAGGGATGAAAGAGGGTTGACCATTTTGTTGATAACAACGGAGGGATCAAGAGGATAGATGCCGGATTTCGCCCACGATGAGATGATAGTACTTTTCTTAGTAGCTTTGCGGCGAATCTCCTGTAAATGAAACATAAAGTCAGCTTTATTGAAGTCCGTAGCACCGTCAGCGATTTCCCTGAGTAAGGCTTCCTGATGCCAATGCTTATATGTACTGAATAATCCAACATCTAACGGCTGAAGTATATGTGTCAGATGAGGAGGGAAGGGATATAAGATAATATTCGCATCTAGAGCTTTCTGTAAAGCTCTTTGGTGAAATGACTTTCACATCCATCATAAAGAATAACTCGAAGATCTGATGTATTTTGAGGCCGGGTAAGTCTCTCAAAGTGGTCAAAGAAGTCCTGTACCGTGATATTGTCGATATAGCCTTTTGGTGTTGTGACTATCGTAGCCTGCTCGTCTAGGTCATTATCCACCCAACGGGAGGGAATCTGTACGCCGGGCATGATGACAAACGGGGCTATGATTCGTCCTGTTGCAGATATTGACTCCACGATAGTCATACTAATAGTCGTATGTGCATCAGTTAACAGAAGGGAGTCGATATCGAGGAAAGTCCATATCATAATACCGTTCATTAGATATCCTATTATAAAGCCGGTCTCGTCGAAATTCCAGACATTATCGAAGTTGATGTCGTTTCCCTCGAAAAGTTCTGTCCATTTTGCAAACCACTCTTCGACATTGGCTCGGTCTGCCATAGCTTTGCGATTTGCAGCGAGAGTACGGCTCTTTCTCCTATGAAAGACTTCACGATACCGCCTGAGGAAGCGGCGAGCCCAGAATCTTGAGGCATGAGGCTCACGATGTGTAGCCTTAAGCAGGGAATTCGCATACTGACGAAGTGTGCGTTGTTGTATGTGATGCCCCTGTGTTACTCTCCTCCAACACCAGGCGAGTATAGCTTTCTCTTCTTCCTTGCTGAATAACGTCCTGTTGCCGCCGTTATCTCTTACAGGATGATGGCCGTTGATCCTACTGCGAAGTCTCTTATAGTTGACTTTCCATGCTTGTGCCGCGGCTCTCATAGAGGGATAAAAGCCCTCTAGATATAATGCCTTTGCTGCGATGGTGCGTTCTTCAATATTATAGTCCGTGAAGCGGGAAATTCGTGGTAAACCAGTCTCAGGATTGATATATATTTGTTGTGCTGATGGAGCAAGCTCTGGGCTTTCAGATGTCATATTTTTTTTATTAATTGAAGTACTATTGCAATAGTTGTAATTAATTTAATATTTGTTGTTAAGGTGGTGATGTCAATAGAGGCTGTGGTGTTGCGGTAGATAAATAATTGTAGGCATCATAGGTGTAGGAAACGGGGACATGCATATAAAGAAGCTACAAAAATTTGGCGGGTTTTGCAGCCAAATTGAGGTACCTAAATTTTTTCCCTGTCAGCAGCCCCTTTTCCCTGTCAGTGCACCCCCCGTGCTTGAGGCACGGATACCGAAGGTAGTAACGAAAGTACGGGGGGCCGATCTCTAGGCCCTACCCAAGTAGTGGCGAGAACTCATGCATTCCCCCCAGTTATATACAGTAGATGTGACGTCTCTAAGCTATTAGTGACGATATGGTACGAACTCCGCCTCACAGTCTCACAGTCTCTCAGTCTCACCCAGGTATGGGGTGATTTAGAAAGCTTTCTGTGACGGTTGCGGCGGTTTGGTTTTAACCTTCAAATCCTATTGTGTTGTTCGTAGATCTGTAACCCGCAGCCCATTGTTCGGCAGTCTGAAGAGCTCTCTTGATATGCGCTTTTGGAGCTGCCTACTGTAACAACGCCTGTCTGTAATGTGCTGAATTACACAGAATCTGGCCCGTGCACATATCAAGGTTCTTTCCAAATCGGGGCAAGATCCTCTAGGCCCAGTTATTCTTCAATCAAATCGCAATTTCCCCATCCGTGCACGTTAGCGAGGTCTCCCTTACTAGTCTCCAACCACATTTTCTTGTCCTCGTTGCTTCACCAAGTCACTCGAAACTTTCTTTTCCAAGCCCGGTCAGGGTTTGAGCTGAAATTTGTCCCGCTGTTGCTAAACTGTTGAGAAAAATAAGATAGCACTGCCCTCTTGTTGTTTATATTGCGCAGTGGTGCTGGGTGAAAATATATTTTATGAAACTTGATTGTTTTTTTTATTGAGATGAGAGTTCTTCTCGGGTTTATCTCTAGATGATTTCATCTCGGACTTTGAACTCTAAGTCTAGGACTTTCAGACTAACAGTCTGAAGCCTTAAGAGAAGGTGGATCCCCGGATTTCCCAACAATGAGCTGAAGCTAATCGTGCGAAATTTGCGTGTTTACGGCAAAACCTTCGTAGATGCGTAGTCGGTCGTGTTGGGGGGATCCATCTGCCCTGAGCACTGCAGATTCGGGGTCGAACACACCTGGTGGAGGAAGGGACTTGAGAAACCGGCTCAACCCACTACGTGCTTCGATAGGAACATGGTGGTCGCGAAGATATCTCATCACCCGCGAATCTTTGACAGACAGCGCAAACTTGCTGCTTATATGCCGTGGTAGAGTTTGAGGCCGTCTAGATATCTTAGGTCCGGCATTTTAGATTATCTACGGTGCTCGGATTGCTTACTTACGATCTCAAAAGAAGAAAAGAATACGGACAACAGAAGGAGAGGTGTTGGAAATCCGGGGATCCCCCTTTCCTTCAGGCTTCAGATTGCTAGTCTGAAAGTCCTAGATTTAGAGTTCAAAGTCCTAGATGATATCATCGAGACATAAACCCGAGAAGAACTCTCATCTCAATAATGAAGCCGGATGTGACTAGTACCTATCATCTCCCACGGAGATTAGATCAAATTTGAGCCAATCACGACCCACTACCTTATATGAATATGCATGAATATAGATACACATGTACATATTATATTCATATATTATAAGGGTATGAATATGAGCATGCTCATGCGTATTCATATAAGAACGCCATTTGAATATTCATATAGCCATGTCTGATCCATTTCCTGACATCTCAGTTTTCAACGCCTTCCAAAACGTATTGTCAGATATTAAGGTGAATCGTATATATTTCTTGATTCTGTCGCAATCGAAGGACTATTGAGACCTTATATCTTCGACTGGTTCCTTCTAGGACTTGAGTCCTAGAAAGTCCTAGATGAAAGTCCTACGATCTAAGTTTAGGACTTCAAACTTTAATCCTGAACCTTAATCCTGAAGTTGAGGGTGAACCCTCCAACATTCAACACGTATTCCCCTCTTTCCAAGCGGACGGCGCCAAGCCAAAGCGACAGAAAACGGCGATCTCAGCCAGCAAGTTTCGATCTCGTATCGCTCAAGGAATGGGGGAAGATCGTCTCGACTCGAGTGGGTAGCGGATTTGAGGAAGACATCAAGCAAATGATTGAATGGATTGCTGCGGCCCCGGTCAAGAAGGTCTAGTACGGCACATGTGATGCATCTGAAGATTTATCATACGAGGACCTCGGCCTCAAAGCCTCAACTTTTGAGGGCTGGATTCGCAGGACACAATAGGAAGGACCGCCAACTGAGAGTCCATAAAGGTCACACTATTTCAAGCTGATAGAAAGAGAAATGTAGCGCATATTGTACACATTTAATTCATAATTCAAGTGAAACTGCAGTTTAAGCATAGAGATTCAGGAATGCCACATATGGCCTATGGGATCATGGCTTTGTGATTTGCACTCGGAAGTCGCTCTCGACCAGGGTCCACAAGAGCTCCACAGATTCGCTCAGGAGCTCGCGCCCTGTCAGACAATTGGCTCCGCAGGGGTCACAGTTGGCATCGCGTTAATTGATGAGAATTATCCTAGGAGCAAGTGCGTTATGAGAAGCGCACGGTTCCCGTGCAGCTCTTATACAATGAAAGCTTTGCCGGTTTAGGCAGTACCGTAGCAGCTGCAGCCACTGTAGCCAGGCCGGACATGCGACACGCACCTTTGCTGGGTGTTTTTCTTTTCTTCCTTTCCTCTCCAGCCTCACGATATATACTGTACAATACCCGTGTAGTCGCTCAGCTAGTTGCCAACACACTCAGTTGAGACCGTTACATACACATATGAAAGATTTTGCCTGTTTAGGCAGTCGTAGCTGCTGCCGGGCAGCGATGGCCACTGGAGGCAGGTGAGTGGCCGGCCGGGCTGACACAACAGGCGTGGACGTTCGCGTCTCTATTGGCTCCCGTGAATCAAACTGCTTTTATGCCATGGCAAGGTATCGCGCAGCAGTCCACTCTCTGCATCGTCGGCCCCAGATAATCATTGGCACCGTGAGCAAGGTAACGGCAATGCAGAGACAGCCCGAAAGGGTACACATGTTGTACAGGCCCATCTTCGCAATCCAGGGACTCAAACACATGGCAGTGAGAGTGCCAAAGGCGTTGCGGACAAACATGACACCGATGCTTGCATCACCAATTACCTACAGGACGTGCACGGTCATTAGTTTGTCCCCGGCGGCAGGGTATGACGATCGAGATCTTTTACTTACATCTCTGTACGAGTCTAAGAGATATACAATGCAAACATTGCTCAGGGCTGTGCTTCCAAAGCCAAAGATTCCCAAGCCAACAGCGGGGATATACCATGGCATGCCCTATATAACCTGTCAGCGGCCACATCTCGCAAGCCAAGTAGATTCGTGTAGCCTACCTGTGAAACAGAGAGACCAAACATGAAGTACCCAGCAGGTGTAATTAGAACAGTAGGCAGAGCCAGCCATAGACGCATCTCAGGCTCGTAAACTCCACCGTTTCGTCTCGCGAGCCATTGAATACTGTAATCGGACAATTGCCCACCGAAGAAACCGCCTAGAATGGAGCCGATGAAGGTGGGAATGTTGAGGAGCCCCACACCTGAAGAGGAGAAGTTGTATGGAGGCAAAGTGAAGTATATCGCTTGCACGTTTAGCAGGATGGCAAGCCAGGCAAGCTGTGACCCGTACACCAGGGCGACAAACGCAACTCCGGGAAAGGTAAAAAGAATGATAAAGGGCCGATAGATATGTATGAAGAGCGCACTACTCCCACCACTAGCAATGGTGAAGAGCGACATCCGTTGCCAATATGATTTGAGTGGAATGTCGGCCAGCGTGTTGCTTTGTTCCATAGATAACGCGTCTGCGCCAGTGATTTTGCTTTTCCGGTCTTGCTCAATGCCATCAATGTCGTCCGGAATGTCTCCTCGAACCATGGGTGTATATACGGTCTCCTCGAAGCAAAAAGCAAACAAGAGCAGTGTCACTCCAGCTAGAATAGAGCTCCACCACCATATCCTAGATTCCAATACAATGTGTCAGCTTCGACATGTACACAGGAGGAGGAGAATGACATGGGGAGAGAGGAGGCAGGACGGAATGATCTCGCGTTTGCTTACCAGCGCCAGCCTTGTGAAGCGGCAGAGTAACCAGCTGCAACAGGCGCCAGGTAAGTACCGGTGCATACCATGATGGTGAGAATGTTTGTCCGCGAGCCGCGCTGGTGCACGAAGAACAAGTCGGCTATCGTCAGAGCGCAAATTGTCTCAGTGATTGAGCCTGCCAACCCGGAGACTATGTTGAACCCGTACAAGTCGCCGAGGGTCCGCATACGCGCCTGCCAGATGGTCGTCCCTACCATGATGACGATGCTGACGAGATAAACGGGACGCCGACCGAACTTGAATGCAAAGGGGATGAACATGATACCGCCAATTGCTAAGCCAGCAGTGGAGACGGCAAAGGATTGATTGAGTTCTTCAAACGAAAAGCCAAGCTCTTCGTGGACTTGGCCATAGACAACCGTGCCAATATCGATGATGGCATAGACAATCAAAGCATAGAAGCAAACAAGGGCGAAATTGGCATTTTTTCGCGAGCGCGACCAGTTCAGCGGATCATTCGGGTCATCGCTCGGGACCGGTTGTAAAATGACCCGCCCGTGTTGTCGCTGGTTAGTGACTGTTCCACTGTAAGGCAACGGACAGGACGGTTTAGGAGGGTACCTCGCTTACGGTCTTCTAGCTGCACGGTGCCTGGCGGGAACGGCCTCGTGTCAGATCTCTCTATATCGACGCTGAGGGGCATGGCGACGTGCTGGAAGATCTCCCGATGATGTTAGGTAAATAATGAGAACAATATAGTTGGGTTTGGCAACAGGACGGAGGCATTTCCTTATGACACTCCCGTTCAAAAGCGTGTAGACACGTGGCGGTATATATATTAATGTGCGGGATGACTCGTCTTTCCACGGGCTCTTGGACTCCACTTCCCTTCCAGACGGGTTCGACCATGTCTCGGGACTCCCCGGACTTCTGATATTTTAGCGTGGCGGGAGGCTTATTCAGTCCTAGCGTAGGACGCACTGCGGATGTTGCGCATTGTGGGGAAAGTGGGTATGTACGGGGACAAAGCAAGGACACCTAATCTGCGTGAGTCATGGCCAACATGATGCTGAGTGTGTGGAGGTTAGTGCGGCGGCTGTCCTTGTTTGGATTAGTGCGGCGGCTCTCCTTGTTTGGATTAGTGCGGCGGCTCTCCTTGTCTGGATTAGTGGCGCTCGTGAGGCGCAAGTGCGACTTCCCCGTGGATACGGAAGCTGCCGTGCTATTACCATGTCATCTCGCGTGTTTTGCGTACTTCCTGTGTCCTTTTTGACGAGCACGCATTACCATTTCCCGCTGTTGTCGGACGGTATCCATGCTTACTCTAGAGACGCGTGCCCCACGGGTCCGATCAAAGTTTTGTAACTTTTGTTATTGGCTCTGGTCGAGCAAGCGGCTTTATGGCAGGGGGACGAGCCGAGGTGCGAGCCGGGCCAATATCAGATAGGAACGGGTATAAATGTAACTGCTCCCCCGTATTTCAAGTGCGACTTGTTACTACGTACTGGAAGTAGCTGCTTGTTACCCTCGTGGACCTCCAACGACGCAAGTTTGACGACCTCCGATACACCTCAGCGCAATGGCTTCCAAATTAAAGATTGCCCTAGTGCAGCTCCACTCTCATGTCTGCCACCCTTCCAACGTCCCTCAAGTACACATAAATTAATCCAGACGCACAGCCAACCGACCTGTCCAGCAATTTCAACCGCGCGGCCGAGTACATCCGCAACGCTGCCCAGGATGGTGCCAGTATTGCAGTCCTGCCCGAGTACCACCTCGCAGGGTTTTGCGAACAACTGCAGGATCCCGAGGCGGCCACACGGCTATCCGCCGAGTACCTGAAGCGCTACCAAACGCTGGCAAAGGAGCTGCATATCGGCATTGTCCCTGGGACGGTGCTCGAGCCGAAGACGCAGGGTGGAGTTGCCGGCGACCACACAGGGCCACTGGCAAATGTAGCATACTTCATAGGCCCAGACGGAGAGCTGCTTGAACGTTACCAGAAGAAGAATCTGTGGCATCCCGAGCGGCCTCATATCGCCGCTGATACCGAGTCCCCGCACCGTGCATTCGACACGCCGTGGGGGAGAGTGGGTCTACTCGTGTGCTGGGATATAGCTTTCCCGGAGGCCTTTCGCGCTCTCATCGCCGACGGGGCGCGCATCGTCATCTGTCCATCATATTGGGTGGCCAGTGACGGCGGCGAGGGCCGTCGATTCAACAGCTCATGTGAGGCGCTGTTTCTACAGAACGTGTGTGTGGCGCGAGCATTTGAGAACGGCTGCGCCGTCGTCTTTGTGAATGCCGCTGCTCCACTGGGAAGCACCGACGGCAAGGATCTCCTTGGCAAGGAGTACGTTGGGCAAAGCCAAGTGGCGATGCCGTTTCAGGGTTCCCAGGGTACGCTTGGTGCTGCCGAGGGTTTGAGTGTCGTCGAGATAGAAATGGAAGCTCTGGATGTGGCAGAGGACGTTTATAAAGTTCGGCAGGATATGGCAACGGCTGGTTGGCACTATCCACTGGCGTACGAGACTAAGAAACTGGCTATAAAATGATATGCGCTGGCTAATAACTGGCCCAACTGAGCTACTTAGTGTTGAACAGGTGCTGGGGTCTCACGTGCAAGCAGGGATATTTTAAGATTACAACCGAAATGGTAAAACCTCTAAGGGGCAGAATTCAACACAACACAAGATGAATATACCAATTTGGATCAATGGACCGAATACACGTAATGTCTGACACTTAGGTATTGGTCATATGCAACGACGTCCACACACAGGCAACTTGTCGATTTCCGCCTGCGCAAAAACTGTCTACCGTCGACGCCACATAGCCACTGCATCCTTGTTATTTTGACGAAAGTGGAGAGGTAGGAAAGCCGCCTCCAGGTTCGACCTCGACAGCTCGGCATTGCGAAGTCTTCTAAGCTGCACTGGATGAGGCTTTCCATGGCGGTGTTCTCGATAGCCTAGCTCAGTACGTCCTGTGCCCATCGGGACCTGAGCGGCTCACGGCCGCTCGACATGAAATACAGATTAAACAACACAGTGGTCAACACGGAAGCTATTGCAATGGAATTGAGTCCATCAACTTGAAATGCAAGTTGAGTGGATTGAATTGATGCACGTGCCTTCAACCTCAACGAGATTGAAGACATTGAAAGTGGGAAATGATGACCAGCCTGAGCTGTATCAGAGTCACTCGCACATTAGTCGATGGGTTGAGTAAGCCCTTTATGTCCCCATCTCTCCCCTGGAGAGATGGCTCCATTCATCGTATCTTTGACGCCTTCGTATCCCTCTATCAGACCTTCGAATCATCCCAACTCCACCAATATAAAGCCAAATTATATAGAATTATAGCATTAAAATGCTCTCAACTTGCTCTTTCTAATTATATCTACTTTATCGCAAAAACGTCGATATGCAGCAAAGGCGGCGCGGTTGTATGTAGCAAGTCGCGAAACAACGCGTCCCACGCGCGCTAACGCATTCCAATAACGCACACTAAGAGTTAGGGAAACCTACGCTCGCTACCATGCCGACGAACACCTCGTTAAGAAGTATATCTGCCTCATAAAACAAGGCAAACGATTACCGAACCCAGAGTCTGATAGCACCGGTGGCGCGATGAACGCTTGTATCTCTATCGAAGAAGAAAGGGCGATAACCACCTATCTCCGGCAGGTAGAAAACACACCTTTCGTCCTAACTAAAGCTTATGCCGTAGTCAAGGCCAATTATCTACGCCAACTTCGAGGTGCTAGCCCTATTTCTCCCTCTTACCATCCAGGACCACCTAGTGGGCACCCCCACCTAATGGACCACCAAAATTTCAATCTTCCCATACAAAATCCAAATATTGATGTCCGCAAAAACAGGCCCGATTCTCAATTAATAAACGAGGCTTTAAAGAGAGTTTCTATAAAGTTATATAAATTTTACTCTCGGCGTGGTTTTTTGACCTCCCGACCGCTCCGTGTGCGCTGGCAGTGCTTTGTTACGACCATAAAGTCATCACTTTCGTCCTCTAACCCGACACCCACCTCAATCACCGACTCGACCTCCTCGTCCACATCTACCTCTATTTCTGCCTCCTTTGAGTCGGGAAGAGCTTCTCCAGTCGCTAGAGCCTCCGCTAGAGCCATGAATCGTCGGTACGGGTTCGGTACCGCCTTTCTTTTCTTCCCTCGCCGCAGCTGAGCCATCTGCTCCTCGAGGCCAGTAATCCGCGCATTCTGAACGGCAACCTTCATCTCTAAAGCTTCCAGCCCCTTTGCGATCTTACTGTACTTCTGCCTGGTCGGACGACTTCGGTGCTTGGCCATTTCCCTCACTTGCCGGCTCGTTTTCGGCGTATCATCTGAGTGCAGTTGAGGAGGGCTCGGCGTCTTGAACTCTTCCAGCAGTTTTTCTTTGTCCGGTTGAATTTCAGGATGTGCTAGAGCTTTGTAACGATTTATTGGCCAATTTCAAGTAAACCTCCAGCCGGATAAGATAATCTCCTTCCTCATGCCCACCTCCCTGGCTTTCGCGTATGCCCGAATAAAGTTGACTTTGTCAACCGGCGCAGAATCGGTCAAACTAGCCAGCTTTTGGAGTTCTTTCCGATACGCACCTTTGATGACATTGAAAATTCCATTATCTAACGGCTGCAAACCATGGGAACAATGTGCTGGTAGGTAACAGCAGTAGACGTTGTTCAGAAAGCACGTCGCCATCCACTCGTCCTGACTGCTTGTTAATGGCCCTATAGCGGGTAACTCTGCGGCGAAAACACCAAAATGCTTACCTGCGCATGGCTCCCGTGGCCGTCAAGGATAATGAGTCTCGCATCCGATGCATCACGAGGCTCCGTTTGGGGTAGATAGACGTCTTTCAACCATTCGAGAGCTATATGGTTGTCGGTCCAGCCGTTTGGTGATGTGATGTAGTGCCAGTCCGCTATCAATTCGAATTCGTTCAGAAACCACTGCTTCTGCAGCTCTTTTCCTTTAAAGATAATTCCTGGTTTTAAAGAGCGGCCAGTTGCAGTAACAGCCTCAATAAACGAGGTCCACGTGCGCGACTGAACGCCTTTCAACATCGCCTTCTTCTTCGGGTCAGAGCTCCCGATTACGAGGCTATCCAGGCCTCATGGATAATCAATTAGCTATGCCCTATAAAAACCCGTAGAGTACTTGTAGAAGACTTACCGAAACCCACCATTATGCCGCCCTCATCCACGTTAACCGTGTTCTCAGGCTTGATCCAGCCGTACTCGTTCTCCCGGATATCGAAGTACCAATTGACCGCCTTCGGAGTAAATCCGTCAAATCTGGCGGCTTCCTGACGTTTTCCAAGCTTGTTAGATAGTTCTAGGTGACGTTTGACGAACCTGGTGGTCCAGTGCTTGCTCAGAGGTTTGTTATCGCCTTGTTGTTTGAGGATGGCCTCGACACAGGCGCGGAGCTGGCTGTGCGAGAGAGCATAGCCTAGAGACTCTTGTCGCAGCACCCAACGAAGGAGGGTCTCCTCCTGGCTCTTTGAAATACGCTGGTGGGCCTGGATCCGTTCATTCCTGCTCGCTTGACCGGAAAGTCGCCCAGAAAGGGTCGACCGAGGTACTCCACGTTTATGGGCCGCCCCCGTCTGTGACAGGCCTCTATCAGTAATATCGAGTATAGCCTCAGCTACGTCATCTTCGGTATAAACACGGCGAACCATTGCGAAAGGAGTTCCGACAAGAAAATTAGGTGAAAATTCGGCTTAAGTGGATGGAGTCGCGTAGGGTAGATGAGGAAAAATGCGAAAGAATTCAAAGTGCTAGAGAACTAGGCCACGAGGCGGAACGGAGAAAAGTTAAGCCGATATTAAAATTTCATGAAAACTGCTATACAACATTGGTATGGGTTTGTAAGTATCTTCGTTCTTGGCTGAATGCGATGTACTTGAAAATTCGGAGTTTGTATGGGAAGATTGAAATTTTGGTGGTCCATTAGGTGGGGGTGCCCACTAGGTGGTCCTGGATGGTAGTTTCCAAGGTTTAAGAAAAGGCATCCCGAGATATCCGTCAAGAAAGAGAAGCCCAAGGAAATTATCCCCATTGGTGCGGAGTTACAGATACCTGAGATACAGACATAGTTTGCTGAATATCGTAAGGTTGTTCGCAGTTATAACATTCTTCTTTAAAACCTCTAGAATTTTAACGAATCCCTCTTACAAATTGGCGGCATGAAAGGCAGCAGAAAGCTCGGCTATACAACGATGAAAGAAGACGAAAAGGCCAATATCCTTCCAACCGGGTAATAAGGATTCTTTAACGGCTGTTAATACTATTAGCGGTGCTGGCAAAGCAATCCCTTCCTTCCTCATCCTTAGCGCCAAGGTCCTGCTCGAGGACAATGCGGCTTCAACTTTGAACGACGATATCATCCTCACAAGAACGCATTCTGGGTATAACAACACCGACCGGGCCTTCCAGTGGCTTCAACATTTCAATTGGTAGTCTTTTCACCACAGTGATAGCTTTGCCGGCTCCACTATTGAGCAGCAGTTTGGCTATCCATATGACATTACGGAGTCAACTTTAAAGGAGCGATGCAAAGGCCGTTCGTTCCATCGTTAACGCAAAAAGTCGGTGCCCCGGCTGCTAATAATGGATAGATTTCATACTCATAAGGACCCTTAACTCGTCTGGTAGTGCGAATTATTCGATATCATCCCTTGCAAGCTTCCCTCGCATACAAGCCATCTCATATAACCGCTTGATGTTGGTGTTTACCAGCATATAAGCTCACAGCAACAAAAGTACCTCTTTGAGCATGTGTTGTTTATATTGCGCAGTAGTGCTGGGTAAAAATATATTTTATGAAACTTGATTGTTAATTATTGAGACGAGAATTCTTCTCGGGTTTATATCTCTAGATGATTTCATCTAGGACATTGAGCTTTAGATCTAGGACTTTCCGACTTACAGTCCGAAGTCTGAAGGGAAGGGGGATCCCCGGATTTTCCAACAGCACGTGTAAGGCGGCGGGATGCAGGTATTTCGATATAATTTTCTTTGCATGCAGAGTGATATCTATCGGAAGGCGTTCTGGGCCTGTTACATGTATGTTAGGTTCGAAAAGGCAGGCCTTTGGCCTATATCTGAAGACATCGTCTTATAATCCCTAATTGAACAGGAAGCCGACCGCAAGATGCCTCTCTTTCCGAGTCGGATCCAGTCTATCGAGATGACGCCCCAACGCGCAAAACGCAAGCTTCAGGCCGTCCTGGAGACGGACATCTTCAATGAAAGCATAACGAACGTTATGAAGAATGTGATAACGGCACTCGACGTTTCTATCATCTCTTAGCAGGCCCAGAATCGCAACCATAAGCTTACGGAGGAGCGCATCAGCCGTGAGGCATGACGTACGAAGGCCCGACGGCACATTCAAGGCGTCAAAGATGGCGCTACTTTCCATGGGTCAGCTTCGAGCCAAAATGAAGGCACGCGCAGATGAGGAATACGAAGATGAAGCAACGCAGCTTACCCGAGCCCAAGAGAAGATGATGAGGGATATCCAGAAGCAAGAACATGAAAAGGTTCATAATGACCGCGTCAGTCAGCCGGTCTTACGAGGCAGGGCTGCGGCGGCGGCGAAGAAACAGGCTGAAGAAGACTATCGCGAGAAGTTAAACACCCAGATCCCTGAAGAAGAAAAAGACCAAGCAACACAGCTTCTTAAGCAATGGAACAGAGCCGATGACCTTAAGAAGTGGTCTCTTTATCACACAAGGCTCTACCCATCCTCAAGATGCTGCCGGAAGTTGTTGAGTGGAAAAGGGAGGCAGAGACATAGATACAAGAGCGAGTGGCTCAAGAGCTACAACTTCCTGGTCTCCCGGAAGATATACAAGCCGACCCCGAGGCTCCGGGAGACTGCCTATCGCTAGGGCTTTCGTCGATGCCTCTTATACCTCTGAGTGACTCCTCTGGTGTTCAAGTTGTCCTAAAAGGGGGCAACCGCAGCCAACCGAACCCCTTTGCGCTACCCTTCACTCATCAGCCCCTGGGCTTATCACAGGCAGAAGACGAAGCCGTGATAGATAAGATTATGGAAGAAATTACGGCGCAGGAAGTGGTAGATGATGAAGATGATGATAATCGTCTGATTACGCTGAGGAATTCTCATTTGAATGCATTGTGGTCTTCATCTGACGACGATGAAGATCCCTCTTTTATTGTTAGTGTAGGGCGGCGAATTACATTGCCGCCGGGACGTAAGCGAAGGCATCAGGAATAAGAACAACGGCCCTCATTCCACCATATATCGAGAAAAATAGAAAAAAGAAAATACAGCACGTATAATAGTACCTCTACTTTACTTTGAATTAACTTTTTGAAGATATCTTTAAGTTTGAGGAGGATATATTGATTTGAAGGTCTGATACAGGGATACAAAGGCGTCAAGGATACTATGAATGCAGCCGTCTCCCCAGGCGAGAGATGGGGGAGTAAAGGGCTTACTCAACCCATCAAGTAACACTCGTTGCAGTTGTCATTGAGAGAGGGAGGAGCAGTTGGGGAGGGTGGTACTTTTAGTGCTCCATTTTAGCAGAAAAGGAGGTAGCATCGCACACAGAAAGATTGCTATTAATATAAAACCAGCTTGGCTTCGCCTGGATACCACTATGTGGCAGATCCAGCCTGCTACAGTGGCTGCAGCTGCCTGCTTCAGCTGCTACCCCCTAAACCAGTGATCTTGTTGTACTGGACTAGCATTGGAGTGGATTTGGCTGGACTGGATTCACAGTTTCAGAAATTTGGACGGGACTGGATCCGACCTCGAAATCCAGTCCAGTCCAATCCAACAAGATCACTGCCCTAAACCTGCAAAGCTTTCATCTGTGTATAAGAGCTGCACGGCTCCCGTGCAGCTTCACATGGAGCTCTTGCTCCTCAGATAATTATTCTCATCAATTAACATGATGCCAAATGTGCTCTTTGCGGAGCCAATTGTCTGACACACTGTCTATACCGTGTAACTTTAAGCGATACCGGCCGCTGCCACGACCGCCACCCTGTGGAGCACTTGGCCGTTCAGCAACTCGCGCCATTCCAAGTTGAGGTTGCCGCCGCGCTAATCCGTAAAGTGCTCGCGCACAGATGCTTATTAACTACGTAGCATTTATCTGGGGCCTGACATTGTCTTCCCTAAACCATAACTTCCCCCAACCACCACCTGCATAGTTAAGACATGTTTGCAAACTTTGAGCTGTGGTCGGGTGGCATGGTCGAACACTCGACCAAGGCAAGTCTGCCGCGATCCACAAGCGGTTGCATTCCCTGTACGTTCCTTGACCCCTGCTCTCAGCGAAATTCGCCTACTGCCAACTGCGCTAATTACATGTGACCAAAGGCCGCCGCACCAAGAAAAAGTGCGACGAGAGGCGGCCGGCTTGCGGGCGCTGTGTCCGACGAAGTCGAGGCGAGTGCACTTGGCCGCGGCCTACATCCTCGCCCTCCTCCGCCACGGGCCCAGATGACGGACAGCAGCCTCAGGATGGGAGAGAGACTACTCTGTGCACAGTGAGGCCTAGCACCGATTCTGTGCTTGGCATATGTGCCTCGATGCCGGGTATCCAACCTGCGTTTGCCTGGGAGCTGATTTGCTATGCCAACCGCGCAATTCACGGCGCCTATTTTGACGATCACTACTCCATCTTTATCCCCTTACTCCCGCTGCTGGCCGAGTTTCCCTCTTATGCTTACACATGGCTGGCACTAGGGGCTGCTCAACTAGCGCAGCAACTACCATCCACAGAGAACCCATTGCGACTCATGTCGCTAGAATACCACTCGCAGGCAATAGGCAGCCTGCGCCAACACCTCCACTCTGCCCCAGTACCTCAGGAATGGGCCCTGTGCTCCATGCTGCTACTTCACATTTTCGAAAAGTTTGGCGATGGGTACCGATCTCCCTCAGACGCACACGTCAAGTCGGCGCGAAGCATCTTTCTCCGCCATTTCACCTATTCACCTCCGAGAGACATTCGCCACATTCTACAGCTAGAGAGCCTGGTATACCGAGTCGCCATTACTAGCACTTTCCGGCTAGGGCCCGTGTGTCACCTGGATGAATACTCCTCCATGGACGAGCTCCTCGATATATGGGCGTTGTCACCGATCACTTGTGGTTTGTGGCAACATAGCCTCTGGATCGGTCTGCGGCCGCCCATATTCAATGCAGTCTTTAAGCTATCAGTCCTCCTCCGTCTCGTGCCCCTCCAACCTTCCTGGAGGTCTGAGCTGGACAAGCTAGAGGGCAACTTTCGGCACTATCTTGGGCCTTATGAGGCGTGGCCGTCGCACATGGGCGACCTAGATCATCCACCAAATAGCGGTGGCAGGCCTTGCTTGTCGCTAGCAGACCAGGCCCGCGCCGCGCACTGCCTTTACGCTTATGCCTGCCACATAATCACGACCAAATTGCGGGACTCTGACTCAACGCAGTCCGGGGATCAGGTCCGTCGAGTATCCCGCCTCGGTTTCCGCCTTCTGGCGTACCTGGCAAAAGCCGGGTTCCTATCACCAGTGTTGATATGGCCAGCCACTATCATCAGTCTCGCCGCGTCGAGTCAGGAGGACCAGGATATAGCGACGCTGTACATCAACGGTCTAGCCCACAAGTCTGGATCACGGGCCATTACATCAGTAATGCGCCTTCTGCACCTTGCATGGACGAGAACCAGTAAAGAATGGCCGGCCGGAACGGATATACTCTTTGACTTCAAAGCGCTCGGCGACGTTTTTATCTGAATGGCAATGAACTTGCATGGCTTTGGGCAAGCGTGGGGGGCCCTATGTCTGCTGATGTTGAAAGGCTCTTCTCAACACGCGGTCGAATGGTTCGAGACGATCGGGCCAGGCTGGACGCTTGTACAACCGGATGACACAAACGGTGAGATCATAGCATTGCGAAGGCTATATTAAGAGCACGGAGGAGCTCCGTGAAGATGTCAAGGTGCCAGGGACTGATCTGTTAGCTGAAAAGAGCTTTGCGGAGGCCCGGGAGGCAACGGATAAGAGGATCACGTGCAGCGCTACCCGCAAATCAAATGCAATCAATCAAATTGTCAAACAAATCAATCAAATATCTCGAAATCTTATTTCAAACAAAACAAATCCAAAATCCTGGATTTGAAATAACATTTGATATATTTGATATAGGATATGATGCCGGGGAACATAGTTGGCCAGGCTCATGGGCGTCATTCTTCACAACCTACCCGGTACTTAGAATGTGCCAAGGATCTGGCACTTAGAACAGGCCGATCAGAACCATCATACAAGCTCGCACATCAGTGCGCTAACCCCCTGTAAGCCTCACAACACCAAGCATCGCGTCATTGTTGATGTTTATTTGTCACAGCGCGTAGTCGTCCTCAATCAATAATGCTTAATCCAATGGAAACAGACGGCCAACTAACCCCTTCTCCATCGGCCTGGTTTTGCTCACCCTTAGCCGTCAAGCGCGATTAGGAGAGGTGAAGAACCAGAACGATCATTGTCTAAAAAACTAGGGTAGCCCATTCTGGGAATTTGTGTCGCCAGAATTGCAAGGTGTAGTGGTGCCGCGTTTGCCGACCGGCAAGTAAATGTACCAGGAAACCTATCATGGTTAAGAGGCTTTTTTGACCGTTTTCCAGTTGCGGTCTATGAAATTGCTGATAAGCACAGCCTGCACTTGAGATCATGCATGGTGCCTAGGAGATGATCTTTTGGTGAAGGTTGGATGTATTCCGGCTGGTGGGGGTTTGGCTTGGTCTTTGGTGGGAAGTAGCGATTGGCTGAAGAGATGAGGTTCGCGTGCTCGAGGTCTAGGGTCGCAACAAAATAGCCCCACTGGGAGGCCAGGGATAACATCGGAGAACCCCGGCGCTGAGATTTGGAACATTTGAAATGTTTGATCAAATATCTCAAACAACAAATCCAGTGCCAAAAAGTGTCAAATAAATCAAATCTGACTACGGATTTGATTTGTTTGATTTGAGGGCAGCGCTGCGAGACTGGCTTTATGATGGGCGTCATTGCAAGCGGAATGGTTGTTACAGGTACAGAAAGGCGTAGACGACCAAAATCAGTGCAGCCTGGAAACCGGGAATGGATTACAGTCATTCAGGCGATCAATGCCGAGGGCTAAGCGATCTCGCCGTTCATCACAGGTGCGGGCCAATATCACCTCGCCAACTGGTACCGAGAAAGCAACCTCCCGGGCCATTGCAGAAGGCACTTCTAGGGCTACCGGAATGTCGCGGCAGCCACTCTGGAGAGCGGCAAGCTGATCTCATTATGAGTATTCTCGAGACCTTCGGAATCATGTCAAAACTCGGCTATCACACGGGGGATAACGCTACCTCAAACGGCACATGTCTGGAGTCCGTAGCATGTCGATTGAAAGAGAATCTTAATGTAAGTTGGCGGCCGTTTTTGATGGACTAATCTAATGATGAGTGGTAGATCGACTATGACCCCAAAAAACACCGCATCCGCTGCATCGATCACATCATCAATCTCTCCCTTCAAGCCCTCCTTCTCGGGTCATCGAATGAAGCCCTCATCGCCGCACTTGAAGCCGCATCTGAAGCTACTAGTGAAGACCTATTAATTCGCTTCTCTCAGGCCCTCACCACTAGAAGACGTAGAGGACGTAGACGTCTCTCGAGATCGGACGTTGATGAGGACTATCTAGGCATTGAGGGCATACCTGCGCTAAGTAAACTGCACGGTCTGGCTGTTTGGGCACGCTGCTCATCGCTTAATAGCCAGCTGTGGGACGATGAAGTCGGTTTGCGATTAGGGATCGATAATGAGACGCGGTGGTCTTCATGGTATCATGTCCTCGATAAGCTTTTCAAAAAGAAGGCGCAAATCGTTCAATTCATGCATGAAAACGAGCAGATCCTCGGAGAAAATCGATTGACGGCGGCTGATTGGGATTTGCTTCAGAAAGCGTACCTATTTCTCCAACCGTTTGATTGGGCCACATTGTGCGCTGAGGGCAATAAAGCATCTCTTTCACAGTCATTATTTCTAATGGACTGCCTTCTTTCTCATTATGAAAACGAGAAAGCGAGTCATTTATTGCGACGTAGCGAGGACTTCTCAGCGTTGATCCCACATCTGAGATATCTCTCGCATGCGTTCTGCGGCCGGGACCCGTGCGGACATCTCATCGCTGGTCTCAACAGCTAAGATTGATGCTAATACGATTATAGCGGTACTACAGCGCTCCCGAGACACGCGATGAACGCATGCTACATGCCATCGATATGGGCTGGTTCATTATGGATAAATACTATACCATGACCGAGGACGTTCCCGTTTATTCCGCCGCTTTCCTTCTCGACCCTTCGAAACGCGACGCCTACATGAAGCAGAACTGGCCGGATGCGTGGTACGACAACGCAATTGGCGGAGCACAAGAGATTTGGGAGGAAGAATACAATATTGAGCTCCCTAATAAGCCTCCAGCCACTCCGAGCGCTGTGGCGGACATTGTGGAACACGAGAGTAATAAACTAGCTCAGTTGGCGAGGAATATGAAGGTAAAAACCGCCGTGTTGCGTTTTGAGGATGATTTCGTGACCTTCATTACCGATCAGCCGATAGAGATCGATTCTACGCCGCTTCAATGGTGGTGCGCATCTCAGCAGCGGAGAAGATATCCACGACTTAGCCGCATGGCCATCGCGATACTCTCCATTTCACCAGAGTCATCCGAGCCCGAGAGAGCATTCTCTTGGGCCCGCAGGACATGCTCATGGGATAGGCAGCGGATTAAATGTGCAAACATTGAGAGGGTAGAGTGTATAGGCAGCTGGCTGCGCGAAGGTCATATCATACCTACATCCCGCGGTGGATTTGGGTTACCGATGATGTTTTCCGCATTAAAAGACAATCTTACCAATTCTGATGACGATTTAGAAGACAGAGAGGATATTGATTGATATAGAATAGAGCCGATAAATTAATTGTTTGGTTTCATCGCCTCATTGGCTTACCATCGTGTTCCTTATCCTGTTATCCTGTAATCTGTATTTTTTCTTATCTTGTTCTGTTTAGTATGTTAACGGATTTCTTAACATGTTATACAGGTTGCCCATGTATGACCTACGTTTCCAAGACCGAGTTCTTGTCGGAAAATCCAGGAATCCCCCTTCCCTTCAGGCTTCAGACTTTTAGTCTGAAAGTCCTAGATTTAGAGTTCAAAATCCTAGATGAAATCATCCAGAGATATAAACCTGAGAAGAACTCTCATCTCAATAGTTAACAATCAAGTTTCACAAAATATATTTTCACCCAGCACTACGGCGCAATATGAACAACACTGAATTGGTCAAGTTAAGATGCCTACAGAGGAAGATTTATCGGACGCCCTCTCAGAGGGAGAGCAGAAGCCCGTTTCAGATTGAGACAGAACGCAATTTCCGGATCAATCTTCGCAGTAAGAAGGAAGCCGAGAACAACAACATCGAAGAGGATTTTCTGCTTTCATCCAACGAAATAAGGCTAAAGCTCAATGATATTCAAGGAAAGTACCAGTCTTCCTGGCGTCCGACAAACCGCTCGACGGCTAGAAGTGGCGTTGGCCTAGCACTGAACAGGCTGACAGAGGGAGAAATTACGAAATGACGCGGGTTTCTACAATATAATCCAAGGCTTTCCAGATTATACGAAGCTCACCATTAGTAGATACAATTCAATAGGTAGAGGATCAAGCTGCCGAGTTAAGGGAAAGGGCCACGGGGGGGTTTACATCCCACGTATGTGAGGGAGACGGAAAGGCAAGAAGTAGGCAAATTAGATGTATTTACAAAAGCGAATATTCAAACTGTGCCATTATATTTGTGCTCCTTACACCTGTACGCGACGAGAACGTCGCTGAAATACAGCGCCGATGAAGCCCCAACCAGGGGGTCGCTCCCGACCACGGGCGGAGCGGACCAGGCTGAGATAGAGAGGGAAAACACCGCCTACCGCAAAGAGAGCGACGACGATACAGTACGCGTATTGTGTAGACTTGTTGGTTGAAACAGCCAACATGACCCACGGCCAGATGCCTGCTCCCAGGCTACAGCTGCTAATCAACAGGCCGCAAGCCAGAGCGGTCCACCAGCCGAGGCCTCGGAGAGCAATGGCTACGACCATGCTGGGGACCCCCCCAGGAGGATCGACAAGGCCAGAGTCACCTGCTGGACCATGGCGGCCGATGGAAACGTAACCAAGGAGATGACTGCCGCGAGGGCGATGCCAGTTCCGCACGCCGAGAGCAGGATGACGCTCGGGTGGATGAAGAGACTCAAGAAGGCGAATAGGAATTGACCAGCAGCGTAGACGGCTGTGAGCGAAGTTTGAAAATCAGAGATCGGTAGCTCCAGTGCCGTCTTGGTTCTGTTCGATACAATGGACAGGATACTGCCGATGGAGGTTCGGAGACTCGCCAACGCCCCGGCAGCACAGAAGCTGGACAGGGCGGCGACTCCCAGAGAGACAACGATAACAGGGACCACGCTGAAGTGCTTCTCGGAAGTGTCCACGGTCAGGATGCCCGGCCGGGTCCGCAGCTCAGGCTCCATGACGTGGGGGAGCGGCACGTACCAGTAGAGGAGGCCGAGCAGGACTGTGAACAGCGCAATGATGAGGTAAGCCCACTGCAGTGCTACCATGCAGTACCAACCTGCCGGTCATACCCACCTACCGGTCGGCGAAAAAAAAGAATTCCCCATATAAAATGTCTAACTTCACTTGCACAGTCCTTGGCCAAAATTGAAGTTATTTACATGGAACAGATTGTGTCTTACTGAGAGTTTCATGCTGTTTCATATTGGCATGTTCATTTGTATTTTACACAAGCAGTTTGGTCGCATGACACTAGTGTAAAATTTCTCAAAATGTCTCCTTTATCACTCAGCCTCCCCAAAATTTCATCAAACTTTTATCTATAGCAGCTTCCTTTAATCGCCTTGAAAATGCCTCAACAGTCTTATACAGAGAATAATGTCATTGAAGCTATACTGGATGTTACAGATAATGACCTCTCGCAGCACCAGGCCGCCCAGAAGCATGGAATGCCCCAAACCACTCTGTCTGACTGATTAAGAGGCCTACCGTCAAAATCCGAGGTCACCCAACCTGCCCAGCTGTTATACGAATCCCAAGAGGCTAGGTTAGTTACATGGATACTTCGACAAGAGGCCTTGGGCTATGCTCCTTCCCACAGTCAAGTTCGTGCCACCATAGCTGCCCTGTTGAGACAGCAGGGCCAGGAAAGGCCAATTGGTGTATACTGGCTAGCCAGGTTTATTAAACGCCATCCAGAGATCGATAAGAAGGTAGGAAAACGCCAGGAAGCTTCAAGGTTCAATTCTTTTACCCCAATGGCCGTCAATTGGTACTTTGATATCCGGGAGAGCGAATATGGCTGGATCAAGCCTGAGAACACGGTTAATGTTGACGAGGGCGGTATCATGGCTGGATTTGGTGAGTACTGACCACTTCTGATACAAGACTTACCAATAAATTGCAAATCTAGGTTTGGATTCCTTGGTAATTGGCAGTAGCGATCCCAGGAGGAAGGCCTTCCTCAAAGGCTCGCAGTCCCGCACTTGGACTAGTTTTATCGAAGCCGTCACTGCGGATGGCCGTCTTCTAAAGCCGGGAATTATCTTCAAGGGCAAAGAACTTCGGAAGCGGTGGTTTATTGATGAGTTTAACAAGATCGCCGACTGGTATTATATCACGTCCGATAACGGCTGGACAGACAACCATATCGCGGTCGAGTGGCTCAAAGAGGTTTATCTGCCCCAAACTCAGCCAGCAGATGAGTCAGATGCAAGGCTCATAATATTAGATGGCCATGGGAGCCATGTATCTGTGGGTGTCTACCTGTTCTCGATCAGAAATACCGCTGACTGAAATTCCAGGATGAGTGGATGGCCACGTGTTTTTTGAACAACGTGTATTGCTGTTACCTGCCTGCACATTGCTCTCATGGCCTACAGCCACTGGATAATGGTGTTTTCAACGCATCCAAGGCTGCATATCGAAAAGAACTCCAAAAACTGGCAAGCCTGACCGATTCTGCGCCCGTGGACAAGGTCAACTTCATCAAGGCTTATGCCAAAGCCAGGGAAGTGGGTATGACGAAGAAAAACATCCTTTCAGGCTGGAGAGTGACTGGAAACTGGCCGATTTCACGACGTAAAGCGCTCATACATCCTGAGATTCAGCCAGACAAGAAGGAAACGACGCCTGGATCAGACGGCCACAGAGACGGGCAAGTCGACTCTGATAATACGCCAAAGACCAGCCGTCACATCAGAGACCTGGGGAAGAACAAGAGCCCCTCTACCAGAAGGCGGTATTCTGTGATATCAAAAGGGTTTGAAGCCCAAGAGTCCAAGATCGCCTCTTTGAGCACCAGAATAGCCAGCCTGGAGGAGGAAGTTGGCCGGTTGAGCAGAGGCAAGAAGAGAAAGGCGATACCGAATCCCAATAAGAAATTTATCTCGCTGGCAGAGGCTCTAGCAGCTGGTGACACTATTTCAGAGCCAAACGAAGCAATTGAAGGGGCGGATGTTGTTGAGGATGTGATCGAGGTGGGAGGGATAGAAGAGGATGAGAGGTCAAATTCAGGGAAGGAAGAATTAGGTGTCGTACGCACCCGCACAGGGCGTGAGGTTAAAAGACCCAGAAAATATTAAAATAGATTCAATTTTGATCTAAATTCTAGGGATAAAATTATTTTTACTATTTTTATTAAGTTTTTCCCATGAGGTTAAAAAAGTGCATTTTGTATGGGGGAATCTTTTTTTCGCTGACCGGTAGGTGGGTATGACCGGCAGGTGGGTACTGCATGGTACCAGATTGTGAGCGTCCTCCACGTGGATGGCGAGAATCTTAGTCGCGAGCACCGAGCTCAACGTGCCCCCAACGGCTTCCAGACCGGTACCAATCAAGATCCGGGCCGTCGCGTAGCTGGGCGGCCCACAGAGGCTATTGAACGTACTGGCGACTATCTCCATGATACCCAGGCTGGCCCCGACCATGATGTTGCCGACGACGAAGCCGGGATACGACCCGACAGCCCCGCAAGGCCAGAATATGAGTGTTCCGACGCACGAGATAGCTAGGGATGTCGCGATAGTGGCCTTAAGCCCGACGCAGAGCAGGATCGCACACCCGATTGTTGGGCTGAGGATGCCGGCGCCGACGTAGCAGGCTGAGACCATTCCCACGGCCTGCGTGCGGGCCTTGACGATGGGGATGCTCGAGTTGATGGAAAACAGCATGCTGTAGATGAAGCCGTTGAGGAAGAGGAGCAGGTTGATGACGGCGCAGTACTTGACGCATTCGGAGCCACGCATGTCAACGATACACTTGGGCTGCTCCAGGTTGATAAAGTCAAAGTAGACGGTGGCTTGTTCTGGGATTGTTGGAGGTGTTGAGTGGAAACCAGCCCTGTTACTGTGATGCTCCAACGCATTGGGACTTGGCGAGTTCTGAGAGCCTGTCTGGGATGGAGAAGATTGCCGCAATGTTCGCGTGCTTCCATGAGAGGTGAGACACAACGCGTTGGATGGCGCCAGTCGTCTAATCACCGGGGAAAGAGTCGGGATAGCGGCCCCAATGACGGCCGTATTGACCTCTACCGCCGACCACAGAAGTGCCATGCCAACATTGACGGACCTGGGCGCGGTCGCCTGCTCAAGGTCGATGACGGCTAGCTGAAGATTGTAGATGCGCGTCACGTCAATGACTCCGATGAAGATGACGCCCAGGATAAACGACAGGATCACCATGCTCTTCCGCCACGGCGTCAACGGCAGTGTCGCCAGCGCGGGGATGGGCAGAATGAGGATGGCGAGCTCGGTGGCGATGTTGATGGGCCACGCGCTCAGCCAGATGTTCTGGATGGGGATGCAGCTGGGGTCCCGGGTAGCGAAGTTGTACGCCGCCTCCACGGGACGGCAGCGCAGGGCTGTCATGAAAGTCAAGATGGCACTTCCGACTGACACAACCGCGAGGGTGATGTAGGACCCGACGCGGAGGAACTTTTGCGACTGCCGCGCGATGTCGAGGTAGAGCAGGAGGATGGAGATCTTGGCCGTCATCAGGGCCGGAATGAACATGACCATGGCGGTATACTGGGTCCGCAGCCGTGTGGTGTCCCCATCCCCATCACCAAAGTCCATGGAGGTGCCGAACCCGACTGTGAATGATAGCCCAAAGGCGAGGATCTGGTAGTGTTAGTCGCCGTCGTGGCATACGCGTGTGTGCGTCTCACCCATGCTGCTATAAAGACATAATCGTCCCAGCCATGGCGCTTCACAATGCCGAAGCGGGCGATGACACGGCCTACGGCAAAAACGCTGGCAACAAGAAACGTCACCGTAACGATGATGAAGACGGCTCTGCTGTGCTTGCCGAGGAACATGGACACTGGATCTGTGGGGGCCGCTCTACCGAGTATGAGAGGTTGCGGAGCACGGCCGGAACCAGCAGGCGACGTCGTTATTTATGATCGGGGGTGTCTCTTTCAGGGGGTGATGACCGATCTAAAATACGACCCTTGCTCGGAGTGACATCTCTGACCACAATTCTAGGTTTGAACTAGCCAAGTTGGTTCCCCTGGAGCTTGCCTCGCGAATGGGTGATTTCTACAGCAACAAGGAATATTTATCAAACGACCTGCGTATAAGAATAGGCAGAAGACCCTTAAATTTCTCAGCATTATAACCTTGTTTTGTTCTTGTTTCGCGGAACGTCCAGAGATATCATCCCTCTGTCGCGTGGCCTGGAGCAGGGTGACATCAGAGTGCAGATATTTTGTCAAGCCATCTGGACGCCTTCACATTAACTGTGAACCTTGTTTCAAGCCACCGGTAAACTCCAGTTATATCTCGACTGTCGTTGTTGAGCGCCTAGTTAATCGGACCCAGTGGGGAAACATTGCGGGATGGCAAAGCTTTATGGATTCAACCATACCGTTGATCAACTCAAAGTGTTGATCATTGTGGTAGATCACTGCCGGGCACGCTTTGTCATCCAGAGAATGCCTCTGAGCGACCCGGGGAAGCGGAAAGGTGGACCTCAGGTAAGCGCTCAAGCCTGACGCCACCAGTCCGAGCGGCCTCAATGCCAGGGGTACATCAGCAATTGAGCCGCGGCAGCCCCGCTGATAGGAAGGGCTAGCGAGATATGCAGATGCTGTTTTCCTGCCTAAAACTAGGGAGACTGTAGCATATTTGATGACAGCGGTGCCTAACGCTCCTTGGCATTTTCTTAGAACATGCATGTCTAATCTGCAAAAATGCGAGCTGTTGGATAGCAATCTTGCTTCTAGACGAGGCAGATGTATTTCTAACTCGGCGCACCAGCAACTATGGATCAGCAACCTGACCTCAGGTTTTCTGTAATAATTAGAGCAATTTAAATGGCATCTTGTTCCTCATGACTTATCCAGTGCAGCCATTTGATGAGGCAAAGAGCAGAAGTCGTGTTGTGTTAGAATACAAACGTTCCCCGCGCGCTTAACCCCGCATCTCCAGAAGCAACGTCACCGATCGACAGCAGCCAACACGTTAATTAGCTCAGGCAGGCCCCCCGGTTTCATAGCCCAGGTCAGTCATTGCTTCAGTGCCAAGCGGTTTCGAGCTGCCGCCATGCGTGCTGCCACCACCGCCGCTTCCATTGCAGCCCCGCTTGCCACCAAAGGGGGGACATACTGGAGGGCCTCGGTCGTGCTGGCCAAAGAGAGACTAGGTTCACTCTTGCATTTCTGTTGAGGCCACCGTTTTATATTCATTGCAATGATCCATCGCTTTAGTTGTGCACCACGATGGCAGCATCATGAGCATCTCGCGAGTCCAAGCCAGTGCTCGCAATAGTCCAATCAGTCCGTCTAAACTCCTCAGACTGTCCATTTAGTCCGTCCGACTTGGTCAGACTAGATCAGCAGTCTAGTCGAGATGTCCAGACTGGACTATTAGTCCGTCTGTCACCTTTAGACCAGACTACAATACAGACTACAGTCTAGACCTCGTAAACGACGTCCAGCTCTCCCTTCTACCTCTGGCCCCAAGCTACCCGCCACATAACTAATACCGGTGCACTGCTACCTGATCAGGTCTCTTCCGCTAGCCTACCCACAAAAGTTCCTAAACATCAGGCATAGCATCTATAGCTGCCGGAGCAACGCAGCCATGCTAGAATTCATTAATTAGAAAATGGTATGTACACCTTACAGAATGGAAAACTTACTTCCGACTGGGCTATGAGAGCGCTCCTGTCCCAGGATCGTAGGCATTCCAAAAGATTCAAAGTTTCAATGTTCATAGATCCTCGCTGGTCGGTGACTGTCAATCTAGCTTTGGAGAAGAGTCGCTCTGTCTCAGCAGACATAGGCGGAATCGATAGGATGTCGATGGCCATCAACGACAGGTTAGGGGATCTTCTTCGCTGAGCCAGTTAGAGCCACCATTTCAAAGGATCCGATATCATCATCACAGGTTCGCGACAGTATACTTCGTACTCGTCATCATCCATGTTCAAAATCGTGGCCTTTTGCTCTTTCATCCAGATCTTGTATCCATTCGGCCGTCTCGTAGTGGGTTCTGGTTCACCGCTTTGACGGAGAATGGGACCGGGTGTGGTTGGCTTGTATGTCTTGCTCCACAGCTGTTCTACACGAGCTTTAGCCTTCTCGATCCATTCATTCTTATTTGTTAAAGCAAAAACGGGTTGATTGTTGTTCGTTCTAAGTTACATGTGTCCGAGAGGAGAACAGCTCCTTACATAGTATCCACGTCCTAGCCACCAGCAGATCGGACCACCTTAGCCACACTGTCTCAACAGCCAGGATACAGACGCAGATTTCTCGTCGCTACAAAAAGGGAACGTCTTTTGTGTTATAGAGGGTGCGCCTGAAAACCTAATTGTAATGACTGCAATTTGGATGACTCTGCGCCATATCTCCTTTTCTAATCGTTCCATTAGACTTCAAAACACGATGTCGGCAATGCTAGCCGGCAGTGCTGCAGCGTGGAGTTCGTAGATCCAGGCTATGCGGTCGTCGAGCGGAGGTGCTAGTGGCGATGTAAGAAAATCAAGAACGCGTTCAGACAACAGGTTTAGTCGATCTAATTCCGTTGCTGATAGATTGTCCAGGGCGAGCTGCTTCAGTCTGTCTATCGACTTTCAACTAAACCACGAGAATTATCGTGAATTGCCGATCGCTTTACAATATTCTCAGACCATGCCATTCATGGAGTAGTGCGGTGTGTTCATTGCAAGGCCGACATAGGCTTAGAATAAACTGATTTCGTATGCAGCGCGTCGCAGGATGGGAAGAAACCAGAATTTCGTGTAACCTTACGCGACGCGGGCAGGGGCATAAGGGATTTCCCGGTGATCCGCCGGATCCGGTGATCTGCCGGATTATTGCCAACTTACATGGGCGACTTCAATCTAGCATAGCTCAACAAGCACTTTTCAAAATGCGCTAAAACTACGAAGATGATATAATTATTTCCTTAAGACTTATTTCAATTAACTTCGAAGTCATCAAGCCATCGCGGTCGTTTCCTGTTCCGCTGCGATCGCCCCGAGTCCCGATATGCCACCACTACCTCCCGATCGCTCTCGACAACTAAAGAAGGCCTTTTAGGCCGAGTTTTATGGCTGGGTGGCGTCGACGCCTTTGTATTTGGGGTACTTAATGCTTCGTTGGGTGGCTTGAATAATACGGGGGGTTGGGTGACTGTGGGAAGAACGACGATGATTTCGTCCTGAATGCCCCCATTCTCTTCGAGACCATCTGAGCCATTCTGCCGTGCCTGATGCTTCGGTTGTATACTCCGCTGATTCTGCTTCTTCATCTCAATCCGAAGCTGCCGGTTTGCTTCTCTCTCAAGCTGCTTTGTTTCTTTTCCCCGCCGTTTTCTTTCCCTTTTCTCCTCCCGCTGCCTCTTCCTCTCTAATACCAGTTGCTTTTGCTCCTCTACTCTTTTCTGCCGCAGAGCCTTTTCAGTTCTCTTCTGGAGAACCTCCTCTTCCTTCTGCGCCTCCATTTCAATTTTCTTCTGGCGAGCTTGGGCGATCTTTTGCGGGCTAAACACCTGAGCTGAATTAGGATCCACACGATCAAAGATATAGTCTTTCAGGGCTTTACCACGCTGCCTGCGCTGTTTTTCACGGATAATTGTCTCACGGAGGCCTTGGTTCTCATGCCTGAGTAGTTCAACCTCGGCCTGAAGGCTTTCAAGGGTTCTCTTTAGCTTTCGGGCGCCTGTGTCAGAGCTGACTGAGGATTGCTTCACGACATGATCAACAAGTCGCCGTAATTCTCGTGCAGTAGGTTCTTGTAAAGCAATGGAATCATCCAAGCCACTTTCCACATCTGAGTCATCGTCCGTATTCTTCGAAACCTGAGATAGGACGACGTCCGGATCGAAAGGCTTGAGACCCGTCCGTCTCCACCCACTGGCGATGTTCTCCGGAGTGAAAGAAGCTTCCAATGCACCCCAGAACAGGACCCAAAACTCGCGTTTGGATAGCCCAGTGAGGCCTTGCGTCTTTGAAGTCCGCTGAACAAGTCGGTTGGTATAGGCTGTTGATAAAGGCCCGAAAAGCGAGACGTCCAGGGGTTGCAGCCGGTGAGTAGAGTGAGGTGGGAACACCGCAACGATGATCCGATGCGCGTCGCACCAGTCCAAGAAGTCCATATTGATGTGGCTAGAGTGTCCATCGGTGATGAGAAGGCGGTAATCGCGCCCATTTCTTGCTTTCGCCTTGGTAAAGCGGTCGAAAACACCAATCAGCCACTCTTTCCCCAGTTCGTGACTCGTCCAGCCAGTTTCGGACGTGGAAAAGAAGGCTGATTGATGCTCCGGATCAAAGTCAGTGAGCCAAGTGTCCTGAACTTGTCCCGGCTTGCCCTGGTAGATGAGGAATGGGGGTAGCGATGTCATGTCTTGGCAGATGCACGCCAGGAATGTGATCCACGATCGGTTCCCATCCTGGGAAGCACCGAGCAATTTGCCTTGCCTTTTAGCATTGACATCAAATACTCTCTTCGTTCGGTTGATTACGCCCAGGAGAAATCCCTTCTCATCCATGTTATACGTGTTCTGAGGTAAGATGTCGTATTTGTCGATTTTTTCACGGATCTTCCATGATTAGCAACGGACCAAAGGCGCTACGAGTCTGCTTACTAGATCGAAATATGCTCTATACCGAGAAGCATTGTCGGCTCTTCTTCGTGCTATATCTCAATCCACCCTGATGTCTCCGGGCGACCTCATGCCATTCTCATGCATGAAAGCTAAGCAAGTCCACAATGCTTTGGCACGTTGGCATTTAGTAATCGTTAACATAGGCTTATTGAGCATTTCAAGAAACATGAGGGCGTTGAGTTTGTAACCATGGCAGAAATGGCGGACGATTTCCGAAGCAAGAATCAGCCGGCTCCTGGAGCGCTGATGCCCGTGGCGGCCGGTTCCATTCTCGAGGGGGAATGAAACGTGCACGGCCCCCGCTCATGGCTTCAGAGAACTTAGCGCAAGATCAATATGATTATGAACCTGGGAATGCTTAATCATAGAGGCAGCTGGAGATGGCAATAAACCAAGTTTCGTTATGCCTGATATCAGTGCTAAAGATATACCGGTACGTGATTGAGCGAGCGATCAAGCTCTGGCGTTACCTTGAAGAGTTGTTGTTTATATTGCGCAGTAGTGCTGGGTGAAAAAATATATTTTTTGTAAAACTTGATTGTTTTTAATTATTGAGATGAGAGTTCTTCTCGGGTTTATATCTCTAGATGATTTCATCTAGGACTTTGAACTCTAAATCTAGGACTTTCAGTCTAACAGTCTAAACCCTGAAGGGAAGGGGGATTCCCGGATTTCCAACAAGAGTTCATTGACATCACCATACAATCTGGCAAAAAGTTTCCACGATCTCGACCGAAATCGACGGAGCCGCCCAGCTAGCTTCCACCGTGTCTCAAGGAAGCTAATTTTCTTTCCGATGCGGATTGGGATGCGCTTGATTGGTTCAAGGATATACTCAGTAAGTTCGAATCTTGCCTTTTGCGGCTTGAGGGGGATAGACAAACCCGGCTCCGCAAGGGAGGAGTTGAGGCACAGTACGGGAGCATCTGGCAGGTAGCTGTGGCCTACGAGTTCCTACTTATGACGCTTGAGAAAGCGAAGATCGAGGCTGTAGGACGTCCCGAACCCAGTTATTATGCTTCATGCATCAATTCTGCTTGGTCTAAGCTCAACAAGTACTATTCAAAGCTAGACGAGACACCGATTTATTATGCGGCCACGGTTCTTCATCCCGAAATACAATGGGCCTTATTGATGACGGCGTATGGTGATAAGGTAGACTGGTTGCGTACCGCTCGCCAGCTTATCCAAAGGCTGTGGGATGAGGAGTATCGCAATCTTCCTACGTAGTGGGATATCGCAAATAGTAATCTCCCTGAAGCTGTGAGAGCACGAGAGCATAACCTCTTTTACTCATTCCAAGACGAGCTTATATCTAGTACTGATCACGAAAACGAGATGGTTGAGGGTAAATTCGAGAGGTGGCTATCTACAAAGAACGATGTATACTCAAAGCATGACAATCCGCTTGCGTATTGGTCTCTGAAGCGATTTGAGTACCCTCGTGTAGCCCGAATAGCGATTGACGTCTTGCAAATTCCGGCCATAGCTGCCGAGTGTGAGAGGACGTTTTCCTCCGCTGGTAGCATGGTCTCACCTCGACGACATCGGTTAGATGTGAGCACTATTTGCTGTTACCCAGACAGTAAGATCATGGTTTAGAGCAGGGTTGTTGGGAGGATATGATGGGTTGCTAAAGGATATGAATGAGGAAATGGTTGAGGCTGTAGACCAAGGGTAGCACCGTCCGTGCGTCATCTATCTACTGAGATCTATCTACATCTAATGAATGAATTTATTCCGCCCGGGAGGATACGCCTCATAGGGCCCACAACATTAAATCTCGTTACATTCTTTTCCGACTTCTGGTCCTGAGACCCTGAAACCTCACCAATCCCTACTATCTACATCTACATGTAGCTTACGTCTATCTATCTATATCGAAACTGATTACTAAGCGTCTACATCTATTTACCTGAGGCCTTAGTAGATAGATGTAGATAGATTCGCCAGCCTGAGATTCCTACTAACGTCCCATGAATAGACAATCCCAGTGCGGGAAAATGAAGTACGTGGCCGCCATTCTTGTAGTGATTTCGTGCGTGACACCAAAAGCACGTCCATTCCCTAGTGCTTGCTCACCGACGTCTCTGTTGTTACCATGATATGCTTCGGATGGTCGTGCTCCGGATGCCCGCCCCTGCTCTCCACATACACACTGGGCATACCGCCCTGCAGGCTCGAGTCCATGTCGTTCAGGGCCAGCTCTTCAGTGCTGATGCTTCGCGGGCTCCTTTTGGAGTCCTTGGCCAAGACGCGGGCGCGTATTCGCGAGTTGGGGCCAGTAGCATACTGGGACCCGTAACGCTCGTAGCTGGCATAGTTACTGTGGTTGGATGACATGCCAGGTACGACCTTAGCTATCAAGGGGCGTAGTGTGGGCAGCGAGGCGCAGATGATGGCGCAATTCAGTTCGATGACGGACCAGATGGCAGCGCCGGCGCCGTTCCACGGGGGATCATCGCTGAAAACAGCCTCACGGAGGGTGCACATGCGATAGACGGAGATGATGCAAACACTGCGATGAAAGTGGTGATATCGTCAGTTACGAAATGAGAAGGCGAGCGGCGAGGCGTGAGGGTATATACTGACAAGAAACCCAAGCAGAAAATAAGTATGACCATGACCTTCTGCTTCATGGGTAGTTGGAGCTTCAAAACCGACGGCAGCGGAATACAAAAGATGAGAATGTCTGTCGCGATGCTCATGGCCGACGAAAAGTACCAGATCGGCAGCGTGTCCAGGCACCAACCTGCGGTGCTGGGCACGAGGATGGAGATGGGTAGGCACGAGGTGCCGAGGAGAGTGGCCTGGACACAAGCCCAGAGGATGACGCCGATTATCACCCAGAAGCAGACTTTATGAACCCTCGACGATTGGAAGATGCGGCGGTATTGGAACAGGAACGAAATTTTGACGATGTTCATGCCCACATTGTAGTGGAGAATGGCGACATACAAGTACTGCACACACGTTAGTCCTGCTCAGGTGTTGGAGGATTTCCGGGGCCAAGAGACGGGCATACCTTCAGCTGCTCCATATTATCCTCCGGTGAAACGGCCTCCTTATGTCTGCCCATGCCGTATTTCGCCTCTGAGAATGAGAAGCATTATTAGCTCTGAGAAGACGTAGCAGCTCTGGACACTGGAAGGACCTACCCATTGCAGTCGACACCGCGTCGATAATGGCAATGCCCTTTGAGTCTCGTCAGCGTCTATATTCTCATCTGATTGTGCTGGTTTGCAAGGACACTCTGAACGAAAGGAGACTCGCCGTACCGTTGCTGCCAGAATAGTCCAGTCATCTGGGCCCGCCACCCCTAGAAGGATAAGTCTTGCGTAGAGACGTAGCAGTATGATGATACCCAAGGCAACGACGAAGCCGACCGCGATGCCAACAATAAGGAGACCCTGTGACTCGGTACGGATAACGGAATCGGCCATGGTTGGTCACCTCAGTCCCCAGCTGGCCAGCGGACGAGGATGGTGGTCTTTCAGTGAGGCGTTTGCGAACACCGACAGGAGTTGCGAGGGGATGTCGGGATGTCGGGATGTCGAAGGGTTGGGGGTAGCATCAACTCACAAGAACTTGACGACTGGACTGGCGGATGCGCCATCTTATCACGTTGTTTGGAATCAGCTCAGGCGTCTTGCAGAAGACTGGAATATTAGGGACGCAAGACAGCGGAACAAGGAGACACCCGCTATGAGGATGCATTATGTCAGGAGGGTGGGAGGGAACATCGCAACCAACACCTGCAACCAAGGCCACAACCATTGTGGAAGACAGGTCTAGATGGCTTCGCATAGTGTGGAAATGAGAACGCCACGGCCAGAATAGAGTTTTCCTGCTGTCGCCATCCCCGGAGGAGACAGGGTTTAGCTACTCGTCTGCATATAGTCGCAGTTCGGCTCGCTCGCGTGCGAAGCGGACTTTGCAACTAAGCCTCTACCGTGCCCATCTTCCGTAGCAGCTAGTCTGTGTGCGGCCATGACCCGAGGGCTCTCAGGTCCGCGGAATGCTGCCCTGGTTCCGATGCAGTGCCCCACTCGGATAGAGATTGCCGCCGATAGGGGACGGGATTCATTTCCCCCGCCTTTCCCCTGCAGCATTGCTAAGCATTTGTCAGGCACACACTGTGGTTGTTGGGGTCGAGTGGTGCCGATAAAGGCACTAGGGACCGAATGATTGTGGGGAGGATAACCCCAGGTAAACTTTAATAGTCTTCAAAGGTCCTTACTTTTAATAAATCATAAATGCTATAACTTGAGAAATACCAGGAATACATATTTCAATCCAGTTTGATACTGCTAGATGACAGCGCTGGTTATTGAAGACCCTGACCAGCGTCAAGAAAAGCTGAAGCGCATGCTTTGCAAGGCACTCAAGGAAGATCTCGCGAAGTGCCCAGAGAAGCTGACCAGGATCAAAGGATGTGTTGCAGACTAGCTTGGGCATCAGCTTTTGAGCCCTTCCTCTGTACCTCTAGTAAGACTGCCCAGATTTCACCATGAGAGAACAACGCCGACTGTACTTGAACTAGCTTTTTAAACGGGTGCGTTCATAGCACGATAATACCCCACATACTACGTATAGATGCACGACTTGGCGTCCAAGTCGTTAGGGGTAGTTTCCGCCCCCATCAAAGGCACCACTCCGGGGGCTGACGTCAGTCCGCAGCGACCTAATGGTGGCATTCTGTACGAGTCCAGAACAGTCTACAGCTGGGGTATGCTAGGACATGGGTTTATCCTTGTTAATAAGGGTTGGTCATCATGTTCTAAGACCTCCTTCCGCTTCGGTAAGATAAGTAAGATAAGTAGAGCTAACCCACAGTCTGTAGTAGTAATAGTATCCCGCCTCAACTATATTATCGTCGGCGATGAGCTTCCTCTTCGGCCAGAACTATGGCATAGATGCCAGGTTAGCATAACAATGCGAAGTCAGTGGCCTTGCGGATAGTTGATGTGTTATCCCACAATATCTGTGCAATTCTCGTAAGCATTGGCCAGACGCTGGTAACTAACCGATCCCACCCGTCGCTCCCCGACAGCTCCATTGAAGCTGTCCAAGTACAGTTTGTGACCCACAATTCTCTTCAGCTCTTCCTGGTACAAGCTGCGATCTATCAAAGCTTGCTTCATGGGCAGCATGAGAGGTCCCCTGGGGAACGTTTGCGGCGGCAAATCATTTGCCAGGGCGGTGATCCGTACAGAATATCCAGTGGGGTTGGGCAACATGGGATTCTGCATGGACTACGATTATGCAGCCAGGGTCTGCAGGTACAAAATGGCTTCTGAGCCTCCTGTCTATCGGGATGTCGTGGCAGTGAGCTTAGCTTTGTGTTTATTACAAGATTCTATTTTTAGGTATATTCTGCTATTGAACTCTTCTGCATCCATATCATGCAGCTCTACTCCTGGATCATGTCAGGCTTGGTGGCCAGTACATCGGCCGCCGCTGTGACCGAGGCCTATGACTATGTAAGTCTTCTCCCCCCAGGGGACGGAAAAGAGTTAGGGTTACGAGACACTTCCAATGCATTTATCTGAGCGCTGCTAAATCTTATCGGTAAACAGATCATCGTCGGAGGTGGCACCGCCGGAGGAGCCCTCGCCACCCGACTGAGCCTCGGCCTTCCTAAGCTCAAGATCCTTCTTCTGGAAGCGGGCCCAGCAGCTCTCGATGATGTCCGCATCAATGTACCCGGGATGCGCGGTTCGATCTTGGGAACTTCGTACGATTGGAACTTCTCTTCCGTCGCCCAGACTGGCCTCAATGGGCGGTCCATCAGCGTCAACCGTGGCAAGGTTCTCGGCGGCTCATCCGCGATGAACTTCCTATGCTATGACCGCGCCTCATCTGCTGAATACGACGCCTGGGGCGAGCTCGGAAGCCCCGGGTGGAACTGGAACACCATGATCCATGGTATGACGAAGTCGGAGAACTTCACGGGTAACGACGGCGACGTCCACGGTCGCACTGGTCCTATCAAGTCCACCTACAATCGCATCGTCCCTGATGTTTTGAAACCATGGCAGTCAGTGGTCAACAAGCTGGGCGTCCCCACCAATGACGGAGGCTCCCTGGGAGGGGACCCTCTCGGAGTCATGTTCCAGCCCACGAACATTGACGTGACCAACTACACCCGGTCATACAGCGCTAACAGCTACTTGCCAAAGGCTGGGCCTAACCTCTCAGTCAGGACGAACGCCCACGTCGCCAAAGTTCTATTTTCTCAGAGCAAAGGCTTAGCTGCTACCGGCGTGGCTCTCGAAGATGGCTCTATAATCCGGGCCCGCAAAGAGGTTATCCTCTCGGCAGGTTCCATCCAGAGTCCGGGGCTGCTCGAGCTGTCCGGCATTGGCCAGGCCGCTGTTCTCGCCAAGGCGGGTGTCAAAAAATTGCTCGATCTCCCGGGTGTCGGCGAAAATTACCAGGACCACCTTCGTACCTCTAACACCTATCGACTGAAGGAAGGATATGAATCCTTCGATCCCATGATCTTCGATAGTGAGGGCACATTGGCGAAAGAGCAATTCAACCTATGGCTTCAAAACAAGGTATCGTGGTATGACTACACCAGCAGCGCCTACGCCTTTCTCAACTGGGCCCAGGTTAGCAATGAGACGGGGAAGGACCTCATTAGCCTTGCCAATGACGGCTTTGCCAGCAATGGCACCGTCGTAGACAAGAAAAAGCTCGAGTACCTGAGCGATCCTTCTATTCCCCAGCTGGAGCTCCTCCTAGAAGCCAACTACGTCGGCGCCGCAGGCTATCCCGGCGGCAAGTTCATCACCATCTTCTCCACCATCATGCATCCCATGAGCCGCGGTAGTGTTCACATCAACCCGCATGCTCCAAGAGGCAGGCCGGATATTGACCTAAAGTATCTCACCAACGAGTACGACGTGCGCGCCCTCATTGAAGGTGCGAAGTTTGCCCGTAAGGTCGCCGAGACAGAGCCTCTGCGGTCCGTATGGGAAGCAGAGACAGAGCCGGGCCCGGACGTGACGACAGACAAACAGTTCCGCGACTTCGCCGTCAAGACGGTCAACAGCTTCTATCACCCTATCGGCACCTGCGCGATGCTCCCTAAGAAGGATGGTGGCGTTGTCGACTCAAACCTGAAGGTGTATGGCACGAAGAACCTGCGCGTGGTTGATGCTAGTATTATCCCCGTCCAGTTGTCGGGCCATATTCAGACGGCGGTGTATGGCATCGCAGAGATAGCGGCGCAGAAGATTATTGCTGCGGCATACTAGTAGCTAGGCTATAGTATTAAGTGAATGAGGGCTTTCTTCTCTATACGATATAGATATGGCAATTGATAGGGGCGCATCGTCCTTAGGGACGCTCCAGCTCAGGCTGGCGATCAATTCAATTCCATCAATTTCGCCCTCGCGTGGCGTTGCGTTGACAGCTTACTCAGCATTTGGCCCGTGGAGTTGAACCACTGCATCTGCAAATTGAATTGGTGGCGTTGAATTGAACATGTTGAACCTCATACGCCCCCCGAGATACTCAACACTTTATTCGCCAGCGTCTCGGCCATCCTCCTCTGTCTCCCATATAATGCTACTCCCAACCTCATCTGATACGTCAACCAACGTATCCACCGCGTCGATTAGGCCATTCCGCACCCACGACCTTAGCGTCTGTGTCATCCCTATCGTGCTAGCCTCCCGTCGAGTCCGCAGCGGTGAGACCATTTGCCCAGCAACACTAAACAAACGCTCGCACTCTGCCGACATAGGCGGTACCGAAAGCAGGTCAAGAGCCATTCGCGACAGTCGAGGGTAATCTTTCCGTCTCTCCCACCAATATTGGATGGGATCCGTGACAAGAGGGTCGCTCTTAGCGTCCGGACTCGACAGCCAGTGGTCATATTCGTCATGGTCTGCGTTCACTGACCTATCCAAAGGACATCTGCCTGCTAGAGACGAAGTTCTGTGTGCTCGGTGTCTTTCGAGAGCACTCATTGCCTTTAAACGCTTGAATGGAGGTTCCTCATCTGAATTCGAAACATTCGGTAGTGATTTATACTCTTCCTCCCACAGAATCTTCACCATTCTTTTTGCCTCCTGAAGCCATGGCAGCTGTGCTTTGTCGGTCCACGTATTCTCGAAATATCCCCAACGTGAGGCCGGATTTAGAATGGCGGAAGCATAGTAAGCTGGCGTCTCGTCCAGTTTCGTATAGTACTCGTTCAACTTATCCCACCCCAGGTTGATGTTTATCCTGAAGTGCTCAGGATCCGGGTAATTCTCTGCTGCTGCTTTCCACTCCTCCAGACGTTCCATCAGAAATTCATACGTTGAAGCAACATCCCACATATTGCCATATGCCTCAATACGGCCACCTTTACGTACCCGGCTCTGAGCATCACCTTCGAGCATCCGAAGTGCCTCCTCGAAATCAAGCAGCACCTTGTCCATCAACTCAATCACTTTCCAGTCCCTCTCCCCAAGAAGACTCTCCTCCCGGAGGCAGAACGGCATCTCTTCCCTCTTTCTAGCCCCATTGCGGCATTCCTTGTTGAATTCAAGCGTGACCCTTCTCAACTAGATCCTCCAGAAAAGGACGCAACAAAAGACCGCGTCGCATCATATACAGGGTCGACAACCACCGGGTCTGGTTATCGCGAACAACGTCGACAGGCTTCCTTGCTCGAATCTTCGGGTTGTCAGAATGTTGAAGAAATTCTTCCTGCAGCGCACGGAGACGATAGGTCAACTTGTCAGACCGATGGATCCAATGGACCAGGTTATGGAGCTTCCCAATGGGACCTTTCTTTCGCCAGATCTCATGCTGGGTAGCGCCAGAACTAGATTCTCCATCAATTTCTGCTTCAAAAGCCTCAGCTTTGTACCCAAACAACAGGGCTTTCACCACCAAGTTGAGCACATGGCCGAAGCATCGCACTCTCCGTTTCTTCGGATCGAATCCCAGCGCCTCCGCAATCTCCTCCATTGCTGTATCCATATTCCCGGCGTTGTCAAGCGTGATGTACCCCACCCTATCGAGTATCTCATAGCTCTCCAAGATCTCGAGGATCTGGGCTGCAATATTTCCCCCCGAATGGCAATTCTTCAACTCCGGTAGGCCAAGGACCAACTTCGACGGGACTCCATTTTTGTCAACATAAAAGCAGACAATCCCATACAGAGCATGCCGATTCCTTGAACGCCAGCCATCGAACGCAATATGAATTTGACCTGGAACACTCCTCAGGTGGTCGATTATGCGTGTCTTTTGTTGGAGATGAAGGTCGATGATTCGCCTTCGAACCGTGTGACACGGTCCGTGTCATGAGAGATATGAGCATTCGTCGCTGCGACTGATGGGTTCAGGTATTCGAATATACGTCGAAGCCGGCCATGCTCGGGCTGGCGAAAAGAGATTTTGGCGTCGATCACCCACTCAAGGAGCAGTCTCTGGAAGTGGTCCCTGTCGAAACGCTGTATGAGGGCGTTCGCGATGGCTTGCTCTTTAGGGTCTGAGGTGTCAAGATTCAGCATCTCCACAATGTTCTTTGAGGGAGTTTTCTCCTGCTTTCCCTTCCAAAGAGCGGGCGGCTTCCTCCTCCCGGACTTATCGACAAGTCCGTGCTCCCTGAACAGATGTTTCTCGATATTCTGGGTGCCAACAGCAGAGAAGTCTGTCATCTTGGGCTTAGCTTTCCGAAGACAATGCTTGCAAACCCATTTCCTCTTCGTGGGAGAATCGCGGGCTTGAATGTCAAAGGCGTGCTGCCAAACCCACGAAGTCTGCCTGCCAACGCGTTCCGAAATCGAGAAACCCGGAAACTTGTGCCATGGGAAGGCTTTCCAATCTCCTGGCGAAGCATCCAAGTTATTAGGTGAAGCACTAGGTGCGCTGCAGTCGGGACTCTGGCACTTGACAGGTACGTTGGCGTCCATTTGAAGATTAGGAAAGGAATAGAATGCACGCAATGATCTTTCTGCAAGGGTCATGGAGCGCGACGACAGCTGAGACGCGTTCATAAACCCCTAATGCTAGGTGCAGTTGGCACGTGCATCAAAAATACGGGGCAAAAGTATTAGCAGGGGTCCTGTGGACGCGTCTTATGGGACTACACGGACTGGGCGCTACCCTGAACCACTGCCATTATCGACAGTTTCAACCGATGGTCAACGTTGAAAGCATCTAGGTGGAATTGAAACAATCAATGGGGAGTGTCAAATGGAATTGATTGAATTGATGCACGTGACTTTAACTTCCATAAAATTGACGGGATTGAGTTGATGGTTGAATTGATCGCCAGCCTGAGGAGGACGAAAGCTCGAATTCGGAGGCGGAAGAGTTACCTGTCATACGCACCCGCACAGGCCGTGAAGTCAAAAGACCTAGAAAATATTGAGTTTTGTCTGAAACAGAATTGATTAGCATGGAACATCATGTTCTTAGCATTTTTGGTGATTTCTTTCTACCACATTGAAAAGGTGCATTTTGTATGGAGGAGTTTTTTTTTTGGTGTACGAGAGGTGGGTACGTACGGCGGGTGGGTACTGCATGGTACCTCCTGGTAATTTACCTCGATGCATCCCTACGATATGGTACGGGCAACCAGAACTTGGTTTTGATTCTCAAAAGAACTTTGGTGTTGAGACTATCACCATATTCCCTCAGTGATTACAGTTATGGAGGTGGTCTTTTGGTAGTCGGAGATCTAGCTCATATTACTAGTGTGCTGAAGTGAAGGGCAGGCACGCTAAAGACCAGGCCAAGCTTGTGTATTGGGTGGCGAGCCTCTCCAGTGTTACTTCACCTTTGAACTGAACTCTGGGCAGTCGCAATGAAGTAAAAAAGCAGGAATAGGTGTCACCAGTTGCCACTCTACAGTAATTGGAAGATCGTTTATATTCGTATGACAAGGTTTAACGTACATGATAAGCGAGTGCAACAGACAAGCGAGTGCAACACAACATCCCAACATCTCAGATAGAAATAGCCATAAAAACACAACAGACTATTAATTAAGTAAAATTAATCGCTATATTCTTCCAGAGACATAGCGACAACTATCTGACAGGTCCTTGCATTATGTCCTGTCTTGCCGCACGCTCCACAGCGCCTTTCCTTTATTTGCGCAGGCCCTCCTTGACCACCACTTCTTAATAATCCAGCCACCGCCTGCGCATCAGCATCCGTTTGATCAATTACTTGCCTTCCCTCCTCTACTGCCATCACTCCTCCTTTCTATAGCCGGGTTCTTTTTGCCCTCCGCCGCCGGCTTAGTATCTCATTTGCCTGTTCAAGATCTTGGACCCTGGCCTCTAATAAGGCAACCTTATGCATAACTATCTTTGTTCCCTTGGAAGAAGACCTCAATGCTTCTAGAATCGACTCTGGAGAGCTACTTTTATGCCTTTTGATTCTCCTTTCAAGATATTCAAGCTAAGAGTCGGCTTCAAGGATAGTCTTTGGGGTCTTTAAGACCCAAGGGGCCGAGGGGCTAACTACCTCCTCCGCAGGCGTCGGAGTCCGCAGCTGCACATCGAGCTTCGAGATTACACTTTCTAGGTCAAGAGGAGCAAGTCCGGCTCCTCTAAAGGCTGCTTTAATATTTTTCTCTGTCATTGTGGCCTGGTAGGCGGTGTAAAAAGCCGGGAAGAACTCGGTTTTGGAAATGTGGGTTACAGAGCATCTGATCAAAAGCTCGATTTCTCGCCCGTAAGCCTTCTTAAGCAGGCCAAAGCACCCGACATCAAGAGGCTGCAGCAGATGAGACGAATGAGGCGGCATACAAAGCGTGATGATTTTATTTGCCTTGCAATATCTCTCAAAGTCGACTGAGTGGTGACTTTCGTGTCCGTCGAGGATCAGGAGACGATAGCGATTCTTTGATTGCTTGGTAGTACACCGGTCGAAGTGCTTTAGCCACTCGAGGCCTATCTCGTTATCTGTCCAGCCATTAGGACTCGTCGCGATAGCCCAATCGCCCGGGAGGTTGCTTTCTCGGTACCAGTTGGCGAGGTGATATTGGCCCGCACCTATGATAAACGGCGGGATCGCTTGGCCCTCGGCATTGATCGCCTGAATGACTGTAATCCATTCCCGGTTTCCAGGCTGCACTGCTTTTGGTCTTCCACGCCTTTCAGCACCTGTGACGACCATCCCGCTCGCAATGACGCCCATCATAAAGCCAGTCTCGTCAAAGTTATAGATTTCATCAGGTCGGATGCCATACTTGGCGATTATATTCGCTACGAGCCTAAACCAGTTGCGAATAATGGTCGTA